CAAACACACACACTCACCTCCAAACACACACACTCACCTCCAAACACACACACTCACCTCCAAATACACACACTCACCTCCAAACACACACACTCACCTCCAAACACACACACTCACCTCCAAACATACACACTCACCTCCAAACACACACACACTCACCTCCAAACACACACACTCACCTCCAAACACACACACTCACCTCCAAACACACACACTCACCTCCAAATACACACACTCACCTCCAAACACACACACTCACCTCCAAACACACACACTCACCTCCAAACACACACACTCACCTCCAAATACACACACTCACCTCCAAACACACACACTCACCTCCAAACACACACACTCACCTCCAAACACACACACTCACCTCCAAACACACACACTCACCTCCAAACACACACACACTCACCTCCAAACACACACACTCACCTCCAAACACACACACACTCACCTCCAAACACACACACTCACCTCCAAAGGATTTAGAAATGAATCAAATGAAAAACTTAAAGGAGCAGTGTGTACAAATGTGGCCAAAAGTGGTACTGCAGCCTCTCCCACTCTCCCTGACTCAGGTTGCCAGATATGCAGACGAATCCAGCTGGGACCATAACAGCTGAATAGACAAGAGTTTAGTCAACAACAAATCTATAACCAACACCTTTTTCACAAAGATAGAAATCCTGGTTTTATTCCTTTTTTTGTCGTTAAAGTGGTTCTCACCCCCGCTCCTCGGAGCTTACGTTACTCACATTTCCTGTTCAAATCTTCCTCTAAATGGGCGTAGCCTGGAGGACTGAATGGGGCGTGAACGAGACTGGGCCGTTTACATTGCTCTGGGCGGGGGGCTGCTGACGTCAGGTCTTGCTTCAGACGTCAGGTCTTGCTGCCGCGCCAGTGTTGGCGCCAGATTCAAAATTCAAATGTAGTAATACAGGTCGCCAGCAGATGGCGCCTCACAGACGGTTTTAGGCAGAAAGTTTAACTTTCAACTAATTTGCACCAAAGTGACAAAATTATGACCAGGATATGTAGACAACACTATTGGACACTCATTTATACCGTTTATCAGCAAAAAAAAGTGGATTTGAGGGTGAGTTGTCCTTTAATGATTTGAGAATCATAACGAGACCTTTTTTAGTCCTGCGCCACATGGTACCAGTGAGATTAGCTCGACACGGCAACCTGGATCACAGACTTTGTGATTGGTGAAACGGTGGAGGGCGGGACATGAAAATGAAAACAATAAGATTTAGGGGCTGGAAAAGTAATTTTCTTCTGTTATCAGTTAAAGAAGTGTTTGAAGAGCAAGTTTTGTTATTGTCTTTTGACAGATTTGAGCCCTTTAATGAGGACCTGACATGGAAATATTACATATTGCTACTTTAATATTTCAGATTATTCATGATCATTTTTTGTTACATTTTTTTTTGTAAATGCACTTACTTTGTGAACAAATAACATATATGTGATGATAAATAGTGGCTGTTCCCAATATCAGGCTCATTCACACCAAGATACTGTATCACCACATTTTTCCCAGGGTTGTTTATAGAAGTAGCTCTCTGCCTTTAGCGTCCCAGGAAAGTAGCTCTCTGAGTGGAAGAGGTTGAAGGTCTTCCCCTTTATTAATTCATTTCTGGGTCAGGGGGGTGGCAATGAGAGCTGCCACCCAAGTCTCATAGGGGTGGCAGCTGATCCCTGCAGGTGGTGGGTCCACAGGAAGATGGCTTTTCCGTCATCAACGAGATAGCCTTGGTCTTTCAGCGGCGGGCTTCAGGCATTGTGGGCTTAAGTGTCTTGCCCAAGGACACAACAACAGCATACATCAGTGGGAGCAGGTGGCATGGGTTGTGGTGGGCTCGAACCCACGACCATTAGACCCCTGCTCTAAACACTTCCAAATCAGTGGATTCTGGTGGAAGGTATTTTAGACTATTCTTTGCAGATCAACTCTAGTTCAGTCAGGTTTGATGGCTTCTGAGCGTGCACCGTTTTAAATCACAAATGTTCAAAGATCTTCAGCTCTGAGGACTGAGGCAATTGTTCTGGTGCAGAAATCCCTTCATTAGGAGATGTTGAGCTGTGTTTTGCGTCGTCGTCTTCAACTTTGTCACTGATTCCTGGACAATGTTAGACTTAGACAGATTTTATTCATCCACAGGGAAAATGTGTTGTCACTAGGGGTGGGAACCTAAGGGTACCTCACGAAACGATACGATACACGATACAAAGCTCACAATAACAATATCACGATAACGATATTATCACGATATGACGATTATTGATATCCATCCATCCATCCATTTTCTACCCTTTAATCCATTTCTGGGTCAGGGGGGTGGCAGTCAGAGATGCCACCCAAGTCTCATAGCACCAGCCCCTCACTGACCCTCTGCAGGTGGTGAGTCCACAGGAGGACGGCTGCTCTCTGAGTGTGAGCATAGCCTTGATCTTTCGATTATTGATATATTGGTCAGAAATATACAATATACCAATTTATGTCATAAATAAAAGAAAAAATACACTTTTTTCATGATAAATGGAATGGAGATGCGTAATGTAGCCATATATTAAGTATTGATACCAATTAAAAAATATATATATATATATTTTTTTTTTTTTTTCAAAATCAATATCGATACTTGGCAAATGCATATCGATAATCGAATCGCGGGAGAAAGTATCGCGATATATCGAAAAATCGATTTGTTGTCACTGTGGATTGCATAGTATTCCACAATAAAAATGACATTAAAGTAACAACCTGAAAATAATAATAATAAAATAATATTGTGAGAATAGAATAATCGGGATATATACGTACTCAGGAATAGACATATCTGAGAATATGTACACATTTACAGTTCTGGACATACTGTATGTTCTCCAGAACCTGCTGATAGAACTTTTCTGATCACTCAAACTCATCATTTCTTTATCACCACTCCACACACAGCAGTGATAAACTACTACTGTAGCCACAGCTGCCCTGGGGCACACTGACAGAAGGGAGGCAACCAGTATGTGCCATCGGCCCCTCCCACCACCACCAACCATTCACACCTGACTCATTCTAATGTGAGTGAAGTGTCTTGCCCAAGAACTCAACCACAGTTTGGCACTTAACAGTCTGGCACTTAACAGTCAGCTGCCCCACTGTGGCACCTGTTCCCAGAGGTTTCCCATCACAATACTAACCAGGCCCAGTCCTGCACAGCTTCAGAGGTCTGACAGGATCACCAAAGTTTACTGTAGGCAGTGTGCGTTTTTTATGCAATGCTGTGTTCTTTTTCTTCCATGGAAAACGTCCTTTGTTTTGCCCAAATAACTACATTTTAGTTTCATCAGTCCACAGAACCTTATTCCAAAATGAAGCGGTCTTGTCCAAATGTGCTGTAGCAGAGAGGCCTCATCCATCCCCACATCATCTCTGTATAAAGCTGTCTGAATAGTAACAATGCACAGTGACATCTTCTGCAGCTGATGGTGGTCTATGGACCTCCTCTGTTTATCTGTTTCTTGGTCCGTCACTTTGGGCTTGAACTAGAACCGTGTCTGTGATGTTCCAATTCCTCACAATGTTCCTCACAGTTGAAACTGACAGTTGAAACTGACTTTCTGTATCCTTCCCCTAAACCATGATGTTGAACACTTTTTGAGTTTCTATTGATTAGTGCTGAAGGTGGGGCTGGTGGTCTGTGTACTGGGTGCAGCTCTGACTGCCACCCCCCAACCCAGAAATAGATTAAGGGGAAGAAAATGGATGGATGCTGTTGAAATCAATAACATTTTAAAGGTTGCCTAAATTTATGCACATGCCTTCAATGATTCTTGCAAACTTTGTGAATGATTCAAACTTTTTCATTTTGTCTCCTATAGGATATCTTTAACTGATTTTTTCAAATAATGTATAAAGGAAAAATACAAATTGATGAGGTGCCCAAACTTTTGCACACCACTGTACCGTGGCCCTGTTCTACTCCACAGTGTACATTGATCTGTGGATGTTTTCACTCACATTACAAACACACAATCAATCATCGCTCACTCAAAGTCCTCTTGATCCACTCAAACCTGGAAACGACAGGTCATTTTTTTTTTAAATCCTTGTGCTAAAAAATGACCAGGTCAAAGTTAATTAAAAATACCCTTAAATGTAATAAATAAATGTAGCCCGAATTTGGATGATCTCCTATAAATTGTCCAGCCCTGGGACATTGAGAACCTTTTAGACCCTCGTTTACGGTATTTTTCTTCAAATTTTAAACATTGAGTAGTACACAGGTTAAATATGTAATTTATTGCAAAACAATAATATAGAAAGCAGTTGCCAGATAATCCAGGTCCTGGTCTGATTTTGGACCAGGTCAGGTGTTGGTTTTGGTTAGTCCCATCAGGGCGACTGTCTTCCTCCCACTGTCCTGTGGAGTGCCCCAGGGCTCAGTGCAGGGACCTCTGTTATTTGCATTATTTACGAACACACTTCATTTAAGCAAACTTGAGCAGCACTTTTCCCTAAGATTAGTCCATGCATAACAACATGGACGTCACAGAAGAGGACAGGCACTTTATTATGATAAGATTAAGCCATATTTGGACCAACCAGAGCACCTGGAGGGAACCTGTGCACCTGGGGAGAGAGCGAAAGATGGCACCTTGGAAAGAGCACTATCTCTGCTCTTATTTCAATGTGGTTTTAATGCAAATGGCAAATAAAGTGAATCTGAATCTGAGCTCTAGAGCCCTGGACACAGCTCTGGTGTTCGGAAGAACCACGGCACAAACTGATCAACAAGAGCATTTTTATTAATTTAACTGAAGGTGAGGCGAGGGCACGGCCAGTGGGGGGCGCCGCCCACACACATCTTGAATTCATGTATTTCCATCGTGTCGAGTGCAAAACGTCACAAATGAACAGTCAGTATTTACAGACGGCTGTACACGTGAAGGAGCACCAGGCGGAGTGAGGGGTAGAAGGGGCGGGGCTACGTGACCTCCATGGCCACTGTGTTCTCAGACAGAGAGTTCAGTTTGTCCGGATCCAGGTTCTCTCTGCAACACAACACAACACAACACAACACACACACACGGGTCAGACAGAGCCACTCGGAACAATTAGACCTTTAGCTTTATCCCCGTAGAACCCAGACATCAAAATATTTGTCACAAAAAAACAATGGGGATTGACGTTTTTGGAAAGCAGCGTTCAATCTCCAGATTTGGCTCTTTTTATACCCTTGCAAAAGTATTCATACCCAACAAACTTTTCACATTTTGGGCCATTGAAGATGTTGACGGTACATTTGAGCCTGTGGTTCAAACAGTGTTGACGATGAAATGAGGAGATACATGATGGAAATGTTTAACATGTTCATCTTGTAGAAAGCAAGCTGATACTTTATGCTAAATAAAATAGAATGTTTAAAGTGGGTCCGAGGAAGAGGGAATTTGAAATAAAATTATTGAATCTTCCCCAAATTCCCCAGCTTTATATCCGATGGGAAATTACTGGAAATTTACCAAATATGTTCAGAAAATTGTCCAATGAAACACATGTATATTGACGTGAGGCACATTTGATCATTTTGTCAGGGTCTCACCTGGGGCCCAGACTCAGAGCCGCAGGGGGGCCCGCCGCTGGGGGGGTTTTGGTCTTCTGACAGTGGGATAGTTTGAGTGCGGTGGGGCCCATGGGGGAGGGGAGGGTCCTGGGGCCGTGGAGGCGCTTCACAGGGGCGAGAGATCCACCACGCAGGCTGCTGTTGGTGTGGAGGGTTCCCTGGTTTCCGTGGGGCCCCTGGTGAGTGTGGGGGCCCATCCCGTTGTTGTGAGCGGCCGTGGAGCTGGGCAGGAGCGCGTTGGGGCTGGGGGCCGGCGCCGCGGGGGCTGGAGATGCCGAGAAATGGGACACTTTGTACAAACCTGAGGGCGGAGACGTCATGATTACACACTCTGCCCCGAGTAAGTCATCTTTATTTATATGGTGCCTTTTACAGACCAGAGTCAAGGTACTTTACAATTGTTAACTCCACACTGACTCCCCCCCAGTTCTCATAAGTCTCCATCCCCCAGTTCTCATAAGTCTCCATCCCTTGAACATCTATAACAGCTTGGAGTCTTCTGTGGTGGTTATAGATGAGGTTCTCTCTCTCTCTGGTCTCTCTCTGGTGAGAGAGAAACCAGAAAGAGAGAGAGATCAGAGAGTGATAGACCAAAGAGAGAGACCAGAGAGAGAGATAGAGAGAGACCAGAGAAAGACCAGAGAGAGAAACCAGAGATCACCATCTAGATCTTAATTACTAGATATTGTGTGATGTTTGTTCTGATTCCTCCTTCTGCTGCCCTTAGGTGCAACTATGACATTTGATCTTTCTCTGTACCTGAGGGCGACAGGACTCCGTTAACGGCGCCCCCTGCTGGTAGATCCTCTTTGATCTTGAGCGTGAGCAGCTGATCAGTGGTGACCAGAGCAGACGCAGCCGCCAGCGCAGACGCCTGGTCCACTGTGTTCCCAAGCGGCTGCAAGAGACCAGACTGGGTGAGACCGAGCGGGTGAGACGGACAGGACCGGGTGAGACCCGTTCTGGCCATTTCACTTTTGTGTTTTCCTCTGGTCATTTACATCTGCATACAGTTTTCATTCTTTGTTTTCATGCATTAATTCATCAGAAGTTGAATTGGAAATGGCTTCATCAAAACCTGTATGTTGCACTTCTAGTACTGGTACTAGTTCTAAATTTCCCCACTGTGGGATTAATAAAGGAACTCTTATCTTATTATCTTATGATATCTATACAGACTATAAAAAAATTGACATTTGAGCCTTATTTTCCTCAATTTTTGTATTTCGTTTGAATAATGTGAGGGACATAATGGCAATATATCGCAGAATCGAATCCAAACAGTCCAAATATTGTAATACTATCATCGCCTTTTTTCCAATTCCCACCCAACAGAGCACAGTACAGTTAGAGGAGGTCTTCGTACCGAGCGCTGGTGCTGCTGCTCTTGCTCCAGCTGCTGTTTCCTCATCTGTGTGAGCTGCTCCTGGTGCTGCTGGAACATCTCAGCCGTGAGCACTGCACACAACAGGACACTGTTCAAATCCAGAGTAAAACTGTTCTGTTTCGCTGTGAAGACAACTAAAAAATTAACACTTCAGTTTTCCGTTTTTCTTCAGCTTACATGCAGTCTCTGTACACGCCTCATGCGTCTCAAGTGTCCAATGAGATTCTTTGTGTTAAAGGATTTTCTAGCAGTCCCTCCTCTTGAAATCACGCTGCATCACGCTGATCTATTTCTGCTACTGTAAAATAATGCCACACGACCACCGCCATCTTCTTTCTTTCTTCCACTGAGGAAGGTGCGCGGACGCCCTCTACTGGTATCTCTTCGCACGTCAATCGGCAAATGTCATTTTAATTTGCAGATGGCCGATAACAAGGAAAAACATTGGTCGATGTTCAGCCAATGCATGGGTGCATCCCTACTTATGTGATAGTTTAATGATATATGAACAGTGTACAACAGTCCTCACAGTAGAATCTCACATTTTAACTCCTGGATTCCTGTCTTTCTCATAGTAAAGGGGAGGATTTTTTAACAACCAAAATCAACCAATCAACCATCAACTCAGAAGTAAGATTCTATTTGTTGGATTTTTGACAAATGGACACTCTGAATAAAGTATATAAAAAGAGAAGTACAGTAACAATGGGGGTCTGGATCCTGCTCCCTTTGGCCCCTCCCATCACATAGCTCTGGAGGCTCTTACCTGGGGTCCGGACGGTGCTCCCTCTAGCCCCTCCTCTCACACAGCTCCGGGGGGTCAGGGGGGCCACGTTAGGCTTGAATCTCTTGCCAAGCCGCCTGAACGCTGGGTGGGGCGCGTCGAGCTGGTCCAGGTCCAGCGCCCGCGGCCGGAAGTGTCTCCAGCGCAGGGCCTTGATGCTGAGGAGCAGGTGGGTGAGGTCCGTGTGCCAGTGTCTGTCGGGGGAGGGGGGAGGTGAGGCAGGGGGAGGAGGGGGAGAGGGGGGTCGCTCGGGGGACAGTTCGTGATACACAGGGTCGAAGTCGGAGTGCGCGCGGTCCAGGATCAACCTGACGGAGACACAAGGATCATCTCAGATACGTCCACTTAATAACAGAGACAGGACAAACATACAGTATACTGTATATAGATGGACAATGCTAATCCGCTAGCACAATGCTAACCCACAAGCTCAATTCTAACCTGCTAACTCAATGAAGCCATACTGAAAGTCTCCTGGTGAAGTTTTGCTCCAACTTGGTCTGGCTCCTATTGACTTAAATGTAAAAGTAAACTTCTCCAGCTCAGCATCGTTTGTGTCACACTCACCATCATGACCATCATGGGTTTAATAATCTGGTTTAGGGCTCCCTGTGATCCAGGTGTTTACTGTGAGAGTTTTTAAATCCAGACATGAGCCATGGATTGACCAATCAAGGGCCTTTCCCCGGATTTGGTGCTGCTCCTGATTGGGTTGTGGATGCTCGACCGTGGTTACCAAAGAAATTTATATACATTTGAGTTAGCTCTAATCTCCTCATGGAGCCGGTTTGAGTTAGCTCCAATCTCCTCATGGAGCCGGTTTGAGTTAGCTCTAATCCTCATGGAGCCGGTTTGAGTTAGCTCCAATCCTCATGGAGCTGCAACTCCAACCAGAAGCACAGGGGGCGCCGTACCTGCCACCGCGGCCCACTCTCCGCCGCGCCAGACCCACGCATCGCCGCGGCAACGACAGCGACGTCAGGCTGAACCTGAAGCGTGAGACAGCGGCACCGTGAGGAGGAGAAGAACACCACGGCCACGAGCCCAGGGAGCGGTGCACCTGCAGACGGAGAGGACGGTTAGGACCAAAACTGTGTGTGTGTGTGCTTATGTGAGTGCCAAGAATTTTCCATTATTTCCTTGTAATGTGACTATATCACACCGTTATTATTACTACATATTATTACTTATATAAAAATTTTACTTTATGAGCTTAATAGTCTCTGACCGTGTGGTAGTGGCAACCCGCCGTTCTCCTGAAGGCATACGCTCCATCTGGGTCATTCTCTTCTTCTGCCTCTGACGATCCAGACAGCACCTGTGTAAAAGACCTCACATTACACCTGTGTGAAAGACCTCACATTACACCTGTGTGAAAGACCTCACATTACACCTGTGTTAAAGACCTCACATTACACCTGTGTTAAAGACCTCACATTACACCTGTGTTAAAGACCTCACATTACACCTGTGTTAAAGACCTCACATTACACTTGTGTTAAAGACCTCAAATAACACCTGTGTTAAAATCGCTCACATTACACCTGTGTGATGTTTTATGGACCTCCACATTACACCTGTGTTACAGGCCTTACATTACACCTGTGTGATGTTTTATGGACCTCCACATTGCACCTGTGTAACAGGCCTCACATTACACCGGTGTGATGTTTGATGGACCTCCACATTACACCTGTGTTACAGGCCTCAAATTACACCTGTGTTAAAGACCTCACATTACACTTGTGTTACAGCCCTCACATTACACCTGTGTTACAGGCCTCACATTACACCTGTGTTACAGGCCTCACATTACACCTGTGTTACAGGCCTCACATTACACCTGTGTTACGGATCTCACATTACACCTGTGTCTGACCTGGTCGTCTTCGGAGCTGGGGAAGTCGTACTGGTTCAGATCGTTGGAGTTGAACAGGTGGTGAGCGCCCCCTGCTGTCTGAGGCTTTGGTTTCTTCTCATATTTCCTCTTCTGTCGAGGAGCGTCGCACTTCACTACTGCCTAAACACACAACACAAGAAAAGCCCATTAAATTTAAAGCTGGGATACGCATCATTAAAGCCAGGGTACTTAACTTTACAGCTGAGGTACGCACGACGAGAACTAATACAATCCACTAGGTCCTGGCTCTCCTGCATTAGTGGCCTCTGTCATACCTCTAGATCAGCATTTTTCAGACAGAAAAGTAAAAAAAAAGAGGACCACACTCACTCAGCCAATCAGCTCTCAGCCCAAAAAGTCAAATGGTGACAAACAGGGCTCTTTACTATTGTTTAGCTGTGCATACAACTGAGGGATTTTGAGGTAGACACCTTCAAACACTGGCGTGACAAGCAGTACCTTAACCTGAACACAGTGAAAACAAGGAAATGATCCGTGAGTAGAAGACCAAGGTGTACGTCTCTCCATTTACTGATGATGTGCAAATTGAGCAAGTGGATTCAAATAAACATGTCGGAATACAAAACGAACAATTATAAATGGACTGATGAGAGATGACACTTTCGTTTGATGCAGACTTGGACCAATGACAGACTTCAACGCACTACTACACTTCTTATTTCCTGTAATTTTTTTTTTTTGTATTCATTCATGCAAATCTGTGTCGCACTGTATCCCATAGCAAATTTCGCCAGGTACAATACATTTGCTCTTATGCTTATCTTTTTATTACACTGTGATTATTAATGATTTGCCTTGTATTGTGTCAGGCCTCCATTGAAAAAGAGGTTCTTAATCTCATTGGGACTTTCCTGGTAAAATAAAAACATAGTTTCTATCTTGTTTCCTTGTGTATGAACTGTGCTATACACAACTTGCCTTTCTCAAACAAAAGAGTTTTGAGTTCAGACGGCTCCAGGATTTGTGGGACATGTAGTCTTTTGCATACCTTGGATTTGTAGTCCTTGGCCTCCTCCTGGTGCCTGTACTGGTTGGTGGTCAGTGGGACCAGGGGGATGATCTGTGGTCTGACCAGAGCGCGTTCAGCCAGGACTTCTGCCATCACCTCGCCGCTGTAGTCCGCCATGCCGTTTCTGCGTGAAATACAACATTTACAACGGCGTCATGACAACGGAGCACACAAACCACCGCATCAAATTTAAACCATGAAAGCAACTAACAAAACAAAAAACTAAGAAGGAAATTGTAAAAAAGGTGGAAAACATTCTTTACCTGATCTTTTGCACTATAAAGGCGCATTATACAATTATGCCTTTCTTATATAAGGTGAACCAAATAATAAGGATCCCTGTTGAATTTAAAGGCTTTTTTGTGCGCTTAATAGTGTGGAAAAATACAGTAAACCAATTTGAAATATTTTATTAAAACCGGGCCTATGTTCAGCTGAGCAGGACATTGTGACCAGAAATTGTCGACTACAATGTTCCCCTTGTATAAATATGCAGTGAACTGGAATGTTTATGACGACTACACTTGTCTTTAAGCTAAAGGGTGTAGCTCTCTAACGATTCACTTCTGTTGTCTCCGATTGAAGAACGGTATCTGAGCTTTGGATCTTTGAACACATCAGATCACACAACACATCATACAACACTCGCCCCCCGGTCTCGCCCCCCGGTCTCGCCCCCCGGTCTCGCCCCCCCTCTGCCCTCTGCCCCCGCCCCTGCTGTGGTACCTCTTCTCCATGATCTCCAGCGTCAGGTGCAGCAGCTCTCTCTTGCTCTTCTCTCGCCGTTTGATCATTTCCAGGATGGTGACGGCTCGGCTCAGGTCTCGCCGCAGCTTCAGCATCTTCTCGTACGAGGCCTCGTCGTTCTTTCGGTTCTGCAGAAGGAAACACTTCACTTTAAACGTCTGGAAAATGTCCCGTTCTAAGCACTTGTCCATGTTCTCCTACTTTCTCTCATTATTTACACACAGCTGTTTTCAGAGCAATTTATTTTATGGCTTCATGGCAGTCAATAAAACAATGAAATGATTTAAAAACAAAACATACCTATGTGTTCTATATTTTTTGTGTTTGAACTGTTTGATTTTCTGATCTGTGTTGGTAATTTCAACAGTTTTGTTAAGTCCTCTAAGAAAACTACTGTTGCGATTTAGGGCTATACAAGAATACATGTCATAGAATTGTTAGAATGGCCCAGTCAAAGACCAGAAAACTGAAAAACTGTCTAAATTTGACAGAGCTCGAGTTGTTTTGTAATGAGGAATAGGCTAAACCAGCGGCCCTGAAAGCGTTGGAATCTGTTGTGCTCCTGCTTCGGTTGGATCTAAAACCTGCAGCCACCGACCTGTTCTGGAACGGTTGGACTTCCCTGGGCTAAAATGTCTGAGTCTAGATTTGAAAATCTTGCAGCGTCAAACCCTACTTTGGAAACGTGTGAGCACTTGCCTTCCGCGTCTGCATCTTCTCAGTCCTCCTCCTGAAGGCCACGTACGGGTCGTTGGTGGAGGAGCCGTCCCGCCGCTCCTGTTTCACTGTGGGGATCAGCGACTGGGCTTTACTGCACCTCCTCTTCCGGCTCCAGAACTCAAACACCTCCTTTATGAGCTCATCGTCCTCCTTCAGCAGCAGCTTGGCCTCCGACAGACTCACCGACTGAGGAGAGAGGACAAGAGTTAGGGGAGCAGGTCGACACCAGCAGTCAATCAAACAAACACTGGGACTATCAAGACATTGCTTCTCCAGACGCTGACCTCTAAAGGCTTCAAACATGTAGCTAAACTCTAAGCTGCTCTTCCAGTCTGTCTTGGACCATAGACTGTGGAAGGAATGACGTCACCATATATTTTGCCGAATGCAGAAGAAGCTCGTTAGAACAGCAGCCATCTTTGATAGTTGCTATGAAGGGGTTTCTGGTGGCAGGGGCAGAAGTAAATGTGTTGCTAACATGGTTCTAAAGGCAGCTGGAGTTTGTCTTTTACAAAGACATAAATACCAGGATCATAGAGCGTGTTAAACCACATTTTTAAGGCCAAAATGGTGAGTGACACATGCTTATTGAGTGAGAGGAGTTTACTTTTATATTAGAGTCAATAGGAGCCAGAGTGAGTTCGAGCAAAACTTGAGCACTTCCCTATTGGGCTTCATTGAGCTAGTGGGTTAGCATTGAGCTAGTGGGTAAGCATTGAGCTAGTGGGTAAGCATTGAGCTTACGGGTAAGCATTGAGCTTACGGGTAAGCATTGAGCTTACGGGTAAGCATTGAGCTTACGGGTAAGCATTGAGCTTACGGGTAAGCATTGTCCATCTGGGTTAGGGTTACAGTCTATGCTCTGAGCAGCTGTGGGCAGAGGCCGTCAGGTACCTGCTGACCGCTGCCCTTCTCCAGGCGGTCGATCATGTCCTCAAACTGCATCAGACCCATCTCCATCTTCTTCTTCAGCTTCAGCACAAATGCCTCGTCGTCAGAGTCCAGGTCGTAGTCGGGCTGCTCCGTGTCCAGGCTGAACGCTGCAGAGGAAAACACAACGTGGATCATTCTCTACTATTTACTTAATACATTTATCGACAGAGCAGGATGTGACCTGGGGGTGGCAGAGCATGATCCCCATTTTGTTTTGTACTGTCCTCTTTCATTTCATTTATTTCATAAATTTTCATGTATTTGAAAGGGTACAAATTTTAGATCAAGTTAGATTAGGTTCAACTTTGTCATTACAAAGTCAAGACAATGCAGCAAGAGGCAGTTTCGCATCGAACCAGTAGAGCAATAACACAAGTATGAGAAAATATTTACAACACAGATACATTCATGCAAATAGGTGAGACTTTATAAAAATTATCATTAAATATATATTACACAATACGTTTTTAAATAGCGCTTCCATTCATTCACTTTTTCATTCTCTCGTGCGACTGCAGCCGTTTATATTCAATTCTTATAATAAACTCTCAGCCATCATCAGGAGAGTTTTATATGGCGACTATGGCATGTTATACATCATTTTAAAGACCGACTGAGAAGAGGGAAACAACATTCATTCTGAACAATGGAAACCTGGAACAAAACAGTCTCAAACTAACTGTATTTAACTGGATCCCGACAAAAACGACTTGGACAGCGCTGCCGTAGGTCACAGTCTTTAGCCTTCGGACAGTGATCTCACGCGACAGGTAAACTTTTTCAAATGCTTTCATCGCTTCAGTTTTTCATTAAAAAAACATCTAAAATAAAGTCAAAACAGAATCACTATGGCCACAGAATTATAATGAATACTGTATTTTCTGGACTAAAAGCCGCTTCTTTTTTCAAGTGCGTCTGCGTCTTATATAGCGATGTGGCTAATGTGTGTGATTTTATTGTGGTAGAATTGGGACTTTGTCAGAGCAGAGTACATACTATTATTTTGACTCCATCAAGTTTTAGCAGCTACAGGAGACTGGTTTATTGCAAAAACAGCCAAAGGTGAATAGGTGATGAGGGCTAACCTTTAAGCTGTTAAAACATTGTCATTAAATCATGTTATGTCCAGTTAAAACACTCTTCTCTCTGCTACAGAACAACATGAAAACCTGCGGCTTATATTCAAGTGCGGCCTGTATGCAGACAAAAATGACGTTACTATTGTCCAGGAAGTACGGTTATTCCTAGGTCTGATTTAGGTGACGTTTTTAGGCCTGCACTCTAACATTAGTAACAGTAATGTAGAAATAGTATTGTAGTGATAGTACTTTTACAGTAGTAATAGTACTGTCACTGTAGTAATAATACTGTAGTGATGGTACTATACTAATCCTGTATTTTTACTGTGGCATTATCAAATACTGTAATACTGTGATATAACTGTTGCTGGAGTAACAGTGGCATAATTATAGAGCTCTAGTAATAATACTGTAGCTGTAATGATAGTACTGAAGTAGAAGTATTGTACATTGAATAGTACTTCAAAGGCCCCCAGGAGTACTCTTTGACTTCCTGGATCTCAGATGAACTAGACTCACGCTGCAGGTGGATGAGCTGCTTGGGCATCCGGAAGTCTCCCGGGTAAATGCTGTCGTAGTAGGAGATGTCGCTTTCGGCCTCAGGCACCGGGATCACCATGTTGTCCCTCTTCTCTCCATACACCTGATGTGCCGAGATCGCCCTCTGGAGGTGGTGCTCCTGCATTACAACAAGCAGAATATGTTTTACTGCAGTAATAAGAAACAGGTAGTCACAAATTAGGAATCCGCAACACGAAAGAGCAAAACTGTTCATGAACCATTAAAGCAACGGTGTCCAATTAGTTTCTCCACAGAAGTCCTACAATGAGAACGTAAGTAGTAAGTTAAGCCTAGTTTATACTCGCGCGGCGCTTACGGAGGTGACGTCACTTGCGCAACGCGTTGGTCACCGCAAGGCCCTTACGTCGCCTGCCGCGCAGCATCGAAATTTTCTAACTACGTAAGGGTCGCCGCAAGGAATTTTCCGCTCTGATTGGTCCGTGTGTGTGTATTGGAAGGAAGCACGGAGCGGCTGCAGCAGGGATGGAGCAGAGAGCTTTGTGCTTCGAAGGAAAAGCAGTTTGGGCTCAGAGCCTGATATACTGGAGACTGTGGACTATCTAACATATATATAACTTATATCTAACATATATATAACTTATAAACTGTGCAGTCGTTTGTTTTGCACTGTTCCTGTCTTTGTTTGAATCGTAGCTGCGTTTGTTGCTTTCCTCCTGCACTCGTAAATCGTTCATGTTTGTCTCAGATATTTACCACTATTATTGTTTTGCTGTTTGTGCTGAAAACTATTTAATAATAACTATGTTTCCAACAAGAACTGTGTCTTTATTCACAGCATCACAGTTGAAATGACTTATAAAATAATGAATCCATAAAACTATCACAAAAACCTACAGTAGAAACACGTGTAATGAGCTCAAACAGCTTTGTTTGCTATTGTTGTTCTGAAGAGGACAAAGTAGCAGCGTAAATGGGACCGCTCCTGTGTGATCGCCCTCATGTGGTTTGTTGTGGGATTACAACATTCTCCTCAAAACTCCGTAAGGGGAACGCGCCAGTATAACATCAATTGTGCTTACGTAGGTCCACCGCAACCGCTAACGTAAGCCACGCCGCGCAAGTATACACTAGGCTTTAGTGTTCTTTATATATATACCTCCTTCACAGACCAGAGTCACAAAGCAGTTTACGATTGTGGGCATTTGTGTCTCACTCCACAGAGAGATGGGAGTGCGGTCGCCAGTACATGTTTTTAGTGCACTCGGAGAGGGCAAACCCCGCCGACAACATTCACACACCACATTTTAGATCAATACAGTCATTTCTGCATAATCCTACTACAGACAAACACAGACGTTTAGAGGACCTCACTCTCAGAATTAAACAGTGTGTGTGCTCGGGTGTGTGTTGTGTGCCAGTGTTTGACTGTGTGCGCGCGGGTGTGTGTTTGTGTGCCAGTGTTTGAGCGTATGTGTGTGTCTCGGTGTCTGCAGCCTGTGAGCAGTGTCCTCAGATGAACTCTGGCCTGGTTCTCACGCTGCAGCAGAAATAGAGCAAGTGTCACATCCATCCATCAGTCAGACACACACACACACACACACACACACACACACACAGACACACACACACACACGCGCACACGCACACGCACACACTGTGCAGTATAGAAGACGACACAAATCTGGAAAAATATAGAAATCTGATTTTTGCGCTTGGCATTGCTAATACAGTTAGAATTGAAGTGTACAACAGTCCTGAAAAATAAGAAAAATAATATTAAATAGTAAGAAAACTTTGAAACTAGAGGGGAATAAGGACTGTATTAGTTTTAATTATATTGGCGTCTCAGGACTTCTTTTCTTAGGAGTGCTTAAAATGATTACACTAGTTGAAGAAATACATGCATTTCAGGACATGCTGATCCTCCAAAGATCCGCTATCAGTTTTCAAAGATTTAAATCATTTGATTAGGGCTGGGCGATAAAACGATAACGATATATATTGCGATAGACATGTGTTCGATATCAATAGAGAATGGGGTCGATGGAATGTTCGATAGTTTAACTTAACTCCGTCAGGAAAAACAGGAAGAAAACACCGGAAGTAAAGCCGACTCATAAGCGCATGGCATTGTGGGGGATGTAGGCAGAGGCTTCTCGACCAATAACAGCCGAGCAGGAACCGCAAAACTTTCTGGGAAATGCAAAAACACCAACAACCGCACCATGCGTAGCGTCCATGGATCTATAGCTTGTGTTTCAATGCCGTGTCAATGGTTATGCACGTACGTGTGCGGAATAACATGTGCGGCAGCAGAGGCAGTGGACAGACACGATTTATTCGGCGAAAGCAAGAGATTAACTTTTTCCTCGGGAAGCATGTGCGGCACAGAGAGCCGCACGGAGCGGTCACGGGGACACAAGACCCTCAAACAGCTAAACCAGGAGCTAAACCAGGAATAAAAAAACCAGGATTAAACCAGGACTAACAACGAGGGACACAGTGTGAACATATTCCTCCAGCCTCATCGCCCCGTGACTGTAAACAAGGCTGCTAAGGTTGGTTAGCCCACTTATATGACTTATATCGTGATATAGTTTTCAGCCATATCGCCCAGCCCTACATTTGATTGACCTTTCTAAGTCCCACTGAGATTTGAGAATCTTTTTCGGGGGAGGGGGCAGGAGTGGGGTCAGGAAGTGTTTTAACTTCTTATAAACCTTAAACCGCATAAAAATAAAAATAAATCATTGTTCTGTATTTTAACTGCACCAGTGGCAAAAAGTAGTTTCAATATTATCATTTATTGCACAATATTTCTGTCTCAGTATTTTATCCATTAACATTCATCGTGACTGGTCCACTGAGTGCGGACGCATCAGACTCTGAATGATCATAAACAAGTTGCCTTGTGTATTAATTGTGCTATACAAATAAACATGCCAAATCTTTAGTTTTAGCTTTGATCAAAACTTGTTTTTTAGGAAGTCTACATTACAAATAACAATGCCAGGCCAAAACTAATAAAACCTTTACTAGTCTCAGATTTCCTGGAAACGTGAGACATGCTTCTTGTCTGACAACATTCAAATCCAGGTTAAAAACAGTTCTGTTTAGCTGTGCTACAACTGAAAGATTGTATTTTCTTTTTAACGTGATTGTTTTTATGGATGATTTTTACTGCCATGTGTGATTGTTTCCATCTTGTTTTGATAAGCACTTAAGAGTTACCTTTTGTATAGACTATGCTATACAAATAAACAAGCCTTAATACATTTATTAATTATTGGTGTGTTCGGCGACTCGCTTCCGTCATCAGTGTGTGGAATGACTGGAACAATATCTGAACAATTTTAAAGTGCTTTGGGTTACCCTGGTCTGTAAAATGCGCTATATATATATATATATATATATATATATATATACATATATATATATATTATATATATAAACATTACTTACTTACTACTGCAATCATGTGCAACACTGCCAACGTAAATTATTCTGATAATTTACATTATACATATTTATATAAATATTTCTTGCTCCAAGAGTGTGTTACAGGCCTCTACTTGTTCCCAGAGAAGCATTTAAATTTTTCCCACAGTGGGACGAATAAAGTTCTTATCTCATCTAATCTACAAAACAAACTGCTAAAGCTAATTTTGTCAGTATAACCTGTAAATCAGAAACAAATGCTTTAACCTCTAATGTATAAATATCACTGACAAAAACAAGAAGTATCTGTGCAACTTGTCTATGATACAAAGTCCTTCCCAAATGTAAACGAGACCTAACCAACCATAGCCCATATCCATTGCCATAGCCGTGACAGTAGGGCTGTTTTAGCTGTATTTTGGACGTCCTGAGCTTTAAATGTCATGATGTGCCCATATTAATTCACAATTGACAAAAATGTAGATTATTAGCGTTAACCATCTCCCCACAGCTACATTAGTGCCATATATTGAAAATTTGTGACTCAATCAAAAACACAGCTCTGTCAAAACAAATAATTACGTTATTTGTTTTTGACAGAGCTGTGTTTTTGATTGAGATTATTAGCCTTATGGAGGTATAACACGAAAAGCTGAAGTTGGCTGGGTGACACTGTGAACTTGTGTTTTTGATCTCAGAGACTACTTTCGGTTAGCAAGGCACATGGCCCCATAACATGACAGAGGACCACATGTGGACACGCATCTCTCTGCCTCCTGTTGTGGGAGCCGCCAGAGCACATGTCTACAAATGTAAACAAGAGACAAAAACTGCCCAGAAACACTCCACGCATCAAAACACAGACGTGACAGTGGGTTCTTCATGATACTGTCAGTGCGTCCGACCAATACATCAGACAAGAGCCCAAATATTGACAGACAACACTTTGGAATTACAGTGATACGATGTGATGCTAACGATGCTAACATGACAGAAGGCTAATGTCAACAAAAAGCAGCAGAGCGACTGGAGTGAACACTAAAGGCGTACATTAAACATTTATAAACTTCTGTAATTACACAACAGGGCGGTGCACTCATAAAAGATACAGAACCTGTATCTTTTATAGGTCACGTACTCAGTGTTTACATTCTAACTCCAGCTGTAGCTAAGTCCATGTTAGCTACAGGAGCACTGTCCGTTAAAGCTGCTTTAGCAAGGATTCACAAACTAAAGTGTTTCAAATGTGAAGAATCTTCATAATGTGTACATACTATTATAGTTATATAGCATACATTGAAACGTGTTTGAATTATGTGGTGCTAACGATGGTAGCATGACAGAACACGCTAGCAGTTAGCTAAAGACCTGTCAAAGTGTGACTGTTTACAAAGACACAGCTGTGGGGACATGTGGGGACATGTGTGACATAAACCTTGGGGTGTATCATGAAAACTATCCCAACACAACTTTAATAAACAATCCACGTCTCTACCCCCTGGCTGTAGAACAGTTTGGTCCATCACTAGTTTTCACATGCATGCCTTTTTGGAGTCTGTCACATCTTTAGATCAGTCTTCAGACAAAATACAACAAAATAGAGGACCACCCTCTCTCAGCCAATCAGCTCTCAGCCAATCAGCTCTCAGCCAATCAGCTCTCAGCCCAAAGAGTAGACTAGAGTAGAATAGCTCACAGGAGTCTATCAACACTGCCAAAGAAAACATGTTTTCTAAACAGCTGCAGACAGCATGTCATGTAGGACAAACTACATGCGTCATTTATGAAACACTAAAGTTAGGTCCCCCAGCTTTAGTGATCCCCACAGGAGCCGCTCAGACCGCAGGGACAGCGCCCCCTCTGCACACTGCTGGTACTTCACCTCTCTCTAAACAAAATGTCGACCGGGCCGCGGTCACGTGACCCTTTGTGTTCTCCAAGCGGCTCCACACTCAAACCCGCGACACAAACTCAGTTATTACCCATGGTAACGCCGTACCCTAGCCCCGGGACAGCCCCGGGAGCCCTACGGCCCCGCTCGTACCCGGTTACCGGGGAAACCCGTCGTGCGAGTGCTGTGAAAACTGGCCGCCATTTTGTGCAGGCTGCGTAGAAAAGAGGGACTTGTGCACTTAATAAAGCTGGACAAATGCAGGTGTACAGCGGGGACAGCATACCGATTCCTCCTCCTTCTCCATGCCCGTGGGCATCGCGGGTACGGCCCGGTTGATGGACGCGTATTCGTGCAGATCCGGGAGGTCCTCGCACCGGAACACGGGCAGCGGCTTCGAAGCGTCCAGCGCCCGCGCCCGAAACGACAGTTTACTCATTTTCACAAATCCAGAGGCGATATAAATATATCCACGGTCCAGATGTGCAGAGGGGAGCCGCCTGGCGCGTTCATGGGTCTGTGTGGGGCGATACTGGTCAGATCTGTGATTAGGGCGTCGCCTCGCAGCACAGGCCGGTGCGTGCGCGCGGTGTGGATGTGTTTATGTGACGCGACGCACCGCACCGCGACGCGCACCGCGACGCTTCAGTGCGCAACATGGCGGAGCGCGACGCGAGACTGTGAAGAAGTCATTTATAATATCTATCTCTGTCCTTTTGGGTCGCTGTCACTCCTGACTCGTTCGAGTCGATAACAAACTAGGATCTTAAATGGTCTAAATGACCCGGGGCCGGCAGGTTAGGTAGAGTTATCAAAATTCAGGAAAAATAATAATTTAGGGCATTTTGTCCAACTTTTAATCACCTTCGCGGTTCATATTGACAACTGAGGACAACACAAGTAATGTAACGACCACAAGGACTTGCTACACTGTGAGGCAAGGCAAGTTTATTTGTATAGCACTATTCATACACAAGGCAACTCAAAGTGCTGAACAAAACCAAAATATCATAAATAATCACAGTGCATTAAAAAGAAAGACACAAAATCCTCAGTTGTAGCACAGCGAAACAGAACTGTTTTTATCCTGGATTAAAACATTGTCAGAGAAGAGGCCTGTCTCACATCTTCAAGCAGATTGTTCCAGATTTTGGCTGCATGAATCTAAAATGCAGCCTCCACATGTTTAGTCCTGACTCTTGGCACTAACAGGAGTCTAGTCCCTGTGCTCCAGAGTCCCAGCAGGAGTCCAGTCCCTGTGCTCCAGAGTCCCAGCAGGAGTCCAGTCCCTGTGCTCCTCAGAGTCCAGGCTGGTTCATATGGGACTAACATGTCACTATATTTTGGTGCGAGGCCATGGAGAGACTTGTAACAAGCAGAGCTGTTTTAAAGTCTATTCTCTGAGCCACAGGAAGCCAGTGCAGAGACCTGAGGACTGGACTAATGTGGTTGTACTTCCTGGTTCTAGTCAGGACTCGAGCTGCTGCATTTTGAATGTACTGCAGCTGTTTTACAGCCTGTTTGGACAGACCTGTGAGCAGGCCATTGCAGTAGTCTAACCTACTGGAGACAAATGCATGGATAAGAATCTCCAAGTCTGCTTTAGACACTATGTTTTTGATCCTGGCAATGTTTTTTAGATGGTAAAAAGCTGCTGATGTTACTGATTTGATGTGGCTATTAAAATTTAAGTCTGAGTCCAGTATTACCCCTAGATTTCTGACCTTGTTTGAAGGTTTTAGGGAGAGAGACTGTAGGGGACAGATGACGCTCTCTCTTTGTTTCTGGGGACCAAAGACAATCATTTCAGTTTTGTCTGCGTTTAGCTGAAGGAAGTTGTTTTGCATCCACTCACTGATCTGTTGGATACAGTGAAGGAATAAAAGTGCTGTTACACTGTAAAAGAACTGCTACATTGTAAAAGTATAGTTACAATTTCAGCAGTGTAATGTGGGCCGGTGGGACAGATGAACGTTCCTAAAACAGAACCGTCCTTTCCTCCGCTGTTGACAGAACTTTATTTAATGTACAATTTGATTTCAGAAGTGGAGCTGAAAAAATACATGATAGTTTTTTCACTGCTGAATCGACTTTATGTCCCCTCTGTCCCGTTATAGTTAAATACATACTTACCTATTATGGTGTTCTCTGGTGCCTACTAAGATCAAAGTCTATTCTGTTTATCTACTGCTTATATCATCATAACGCTGTAATCAAGTTACGTTCATACATTGATGAATCTAGTTAAGGTTTTTTAAGAAATCAGCACCACTCAAATACATCGTTATGGCGCCATCTAGTGGTCACATCTCATCTCCGTTTGGAATCACCCACTGAGCGGTTGTGATCTCTGTTTGTCTGCAGCAGAAAATAAAACGGTTTTAAAATAATTTAAGTTTTCTGTTTCGCCGTCTCGGTTCAGATCATCCAGGCTTCAATTTTTTTTGTCATATTCTGTCTCAAAATACGAAGAATGACTTGTAGTTCGTACTATCTTCATACCTGTATACTTTTACTCTTGCACATGAGACTAGTACTTTGGCACTTCTGTTGCAGTGTAGTAATAAAAAATGCTTTACAGCACTTTTTTGGACACTAAAAAATGCTTCACTCCGTACACAGTGTGGATAGCTGTAGCCACAGCTGCCGTGGGGCCCACTGTTTCAGCGAGGCAACTAGTATGTGGCATCAGCCCCTCTGACCACCAGACTCCTAGGCAATGTGGGTCAAGTGTCTTGCCTAAGGACAAAGCAACAGTTTGGCACTTTACAGCCACCCCACTGTGGCACCTGTGTTCCCAGAAGTCTCCCTTCACAGTACTAACCAGGGCGTGTCCTGCTTAGCTTTTGAGGTCCCACTCAGGATGTGATTGGTGTGAGACTTCAATAACATTTGGTAGGTTGCCTCGGCAGAGTATGTGCTCTCCGAGAAAACCGACAGAGCTGAGGACAACTGAGGTTTGAACGTGTTTGTTTCCAGTTTCATAAAGTGTTTCAAATAAAGACAAAATTTAAAGGCAATGGTTTTATTAAATAAATAAAAGCACAAAGTGAAGCACAGCATTCACACAAGGAACAAGACACACGGCCAACGATCACACAAACAAGATTAGTTTATCATCTTTATAAACACATACTACGCTTTCAATGTTTGACCCTCAGACTGGATCTTGAGGATATTTACTTTGGCTGTTTTAGAACTTTGATGTATGGATAAACATGATTAATGGAACAGGAGAAGACCGGGATGAGCAACACTTCATCTATGACAGGAGTAATTTACTAATCAGATTTAGAGGCAAAAACAGCTCTGTCCACGAGTCTGAAGAATTGCCATAGTGTAACAAGTTGAACAAGTTTGAAAACCTTATTCTGGCAGATGGGGTGGGTGGATGTTCCTGATGTTAGTGTGGATAGAGCTAAACACAGCTGCAGGTCGTGCCTTGATGGAGGCATGGATGTGTGTTCACTAAATTTCAGCCGCTAAAGCCTGATTGGCTAAAACCGGCTCATGCATGCGTCTAGCCGCCGTAACCCACTGCGCCGGACAAAACTGCATGTGAATATTCTACAATACATGTACATGCAAATATTTTCTCCAACTTCTCCATTGACTTTGCATTGAAACTTGCTGCTACACATGATCCGGTGGGAACACGGCTTAAGACTGATGAGGACTGAAAACTACGTGTGTATGTGACCTGGCTGTGGTGAACCTCAGGGGTATGTTTTGGACCCACTATTAATATTATTATTAAAGCGGTAAATTTGCTGCTAACTCACACTTACGTTGAAAACACAAGAAATGTATAAAACCTGAGATTACAAAGACACACGCTTGATTGCTCGTTAACAGCTGCACCCGTCGCCGTTAGCAACGTTTGGTGCAAAGAGAAACAAAAACTATATAAAAGTCCACACAGAGAAACGGCTGCTGAGTTAAGGCCACACATGGTTTGGTGCCCACAGCTCTATCAGGGACTGGGGGCCATTTTGGGAGTTCCATCTGAAGACCTGGGAAAGGGTGCTGTGTTGTTTGGACACGTGTCAGCTTTTTAACCACAAGGAACACGGCAAAGTACTAGGGTAAAATATGTTTTCTAAAGTCATGGTGCAAGTACTCAGGAGAGATCAGAGACCAGAGAGGGACCGGATGGAGAGACCAGAGAGGGGCCGGATGGAGAGACCAGAGAGGGACCGGATGGAGAGACCAGAGATGGACCGGATGGAGAGAGCAGAGAGGGACCGGATGGAGAGAGCAGAGAGGGACCGGATGGAGAGACCAGAGAGGGAAACACATTTTAATGGAATACAATTAAGTTTCTCATCCACTTGGAGCGAAATAGACTCATAATTTTTACAAGGACATCTTAAGCAGTGTGCGCAACATCCCAAACTCTGTCAAAGCGGCCTAGAAAACACATTTATACCTCTTATATAGTGTTGTTTTTGTGTGTTTAGATGCAGATTTAAAAGCTGAGGCATCGGGTCTTTGCATGGGACTGTGAGGTAAGCGTGCGCAACACCCTGATGCACGAGTGAGGCCCAAACGCAGCAGCAGAACAAACTTACAGACTTAATATTTGGCTTAAAATACATTTTCATCACAAACACTGATGGCTTTAACTGTAGAAAAACACGAAGCCACTGGATCGAGCTCAGGTGAACTGACTCCAGACAACACTAGTCAGTATTGTGTAATGTCAGTGTTCTGTTAGCGTGACCCAATCTGGAGCCAGTTCAAACGGCTCGGGAGTGCATCGTTTCCCATCCCTGACCCAGAACTGTACAAGTGTAAAAAAACATAGCAAAAAAACAATCGCTAAAAACAACAGTGGCTGGAATCAAAGGCACATGTTAAAAAGTCGCACTGGAAAACTGTACGGAAAGCTGAAAATATGGGACATTATTCCTTTTAAGCAGGACGTGTAATCTTTTGTTTTTCATGTTTCAAGACCTGAAATACGCTCTTAGCGTGGCCCGTTTTACAGTGGTCCCTCGCTACAACGCGAATCACCTTTTGCAGATTATTTTCATAAAATAAACATGACAGTTACCTTTACTCAAAGTCAGAAGAAAACTGTTGTGACTGAAGACTATCGCAGTCTTCCCATAACCCCCAGTTCTCCTCCTGCCCCACAATCTTCTCTGCAGTTGTATTTTACAGTATATGCACGGCTTTTGACAGCTGCAGACGCGCTCAGACCTACAACCAACAGGTTTGACATCTCTAGTGTCTCTCTCTTTCTGCAGACATGAGTACAGATGGTTAGAAGAGTACATAATGTGTGTGAGAGGAGTTTCACACCCTTAAAACACACAGGCTACTGCAAGAAATTTGCTTATTGCGGGTTATTTTTAGAACGTAACCCCCGCGGTGAACGAGGGACCACTGTAATGACCTCAGTCCGATGCTCTGTTTGGAGGCGATACTTGTGTTGAAAAAGGCAGACACTCTCCACCCTCAGGTGAAGGCTCAGGGCATACAGTTTTGCAGTGTTTAAAGGCGCGGGGCAGGTACAGTGTGGACCGGCAGCTGCACTGGGGGTTATTTGCCCTCATATTTGGGGTTCACCACAGTGGTCACTGCACTTTTGTAGATGGGGTTTTCTCCCTGCACAAAGAAGAAGACGAAAGTCAAGACGCCATTTTGGAAAAACAGATAAAAAACAGTCTAGAGAGATCAGCACCCAGAGAGACCAGGTCAGATAAAAGAGAAACCAGAGCGTGACCAAGGAGAGACCAGGTGAAATCAGAGAGAGACCAGAGATCCAAGAGACCAGAGCGCAGAGAGAGAGAGAGAGACCAAAGAGCAGAGAGAGACCAGGTGAAATCAGAGAGACCAGGGACCAGAGCCCTGAGAGCCCTGAGATCCGAGAGACCAAAGAGAGACCAGAGAGCCGAGACAGAGAGACCAAAGAGCCGAGAAAACCAGGTGAAATCAGAGAGAGAGAGAGACCAGGGACCAGAGCCTTGAGAGAGCCCAGAGAGATGCGAAAGACCAGAGAGCCGAGAGAGACCAGAGCCCTGAGAGAGCCCAGAGAACCGAGGGACTAGAGAGCCAAGAGCAGAGCGAGACCAGGTAAAATTAGAGAGACACTGGAGACCAAAGCCAGAGAGACCAGAGAGCCGAGAGAGAGACCAAAAAGAGACCAGAGAGCCGAGAGAGAGACCAGGTGAAATCAGAGAGAGACCAGAGACAGAGCCCTGAGAGACAGAGACCAGTGAGCAGGCCAGACCTAGAAAGAGACTAAGTCAGATCAGAGAGAGTCCAGAGAGAACAGAGAGACCAGAGAGAAACCAGAGAGCCGACCAGAGAGGGACCAGAAAGAGACAAGGTTAGAACCGAGATAAACCGAAGAGACACGCGAGAGAGAACAGACAAACACTATAGTTATGTCAGCACTTGTTAGTCCACTTCTAATAAATGGTCTGAAGACTTGACACACTGAAGAAAACATTTGAGAAAACAAATACAAAACAGAAGAGAAGGGAGAGGGGAAAGGGTGGTCCGAGCGCATGGTCTCAATGCAGACCAGAAACACACCACACACAGATCTCGTACCGTGTCCCACTTGGCGTTCAGCTTCTCCTTCTCGAACTTGGCAAATTCGCGGCGGTCGTGGATGATCATCAGCAGCTTCCAGATCAGCAGCAGCGCCAGCCCAATCAGCACGATGCCCGCGACCACGCCCAGGACGATGGGGATGATGTCAGGACCCGGCGGGCACTCTGGAAACAATACAACATGAGTGTCTGCCATAACCCCGCCCACAGCAAGACCACAGCAACATGAGGGCCTGCCATAACCCCGCCCACATCAAGAACACATCAACATGAGGGCCTGCTATAACCCCGCCCACATCAAGAACACAGCAACATGAGGGCCTGCTATAACCCCGCCCACATCAAGAACACAGCAACATGAGGGCCCGCCATAACTCCGCCCACATCAAGAACACAGCAACATGAGGGCCTGCTATAACCCCGCCCACATCAAGAACACAGCAACATAGGGCCCGCCATAACTCCGCCCACATCAAGAACACAGCAACATGAGGGCCTGCTATAACCCCGCCCACATCAAGAACACAGCAACATGAGGGCCTGCTATAACCCGCCCACATCAAGAACACAGCAACATGAGGGCCTGCTATAACCCGCCCACATCAAGAAAACAGCAATATGAGGGCCTGCTATAACCCCGCCCACATCAAGAACACAGAAACATGAGGGCCTGCTATAACTCCGCCGACATCAAGAACACAGCAACATGAGGGCCTGCTATAACCCCCGATAACGATATATATTGCGATAGACACGTGTTCAATATCAACAGAAAACGGGTTCGATAGAATGTTCCAAGGCAAGGCAAGGCAAGTTTATTTATATAGCACAATCCATACACAAGGCAATTCAAAGTGCTGAACAAAATATGAAAGCATTAAAATCATAAATAATCACAAAACATAAAAAAATATAAAATCCCTCAGTTGTATGCACAGCTAAACAGAACTGTCTTTAACCTGGTTTTAAACATTGTCAGAGAGGAGGCCTGTCTCACATCTTCAGGAAGACTGTTCCAGATTTTAGCAGCATGAATCTGAAATGCAGCCTCCCCATGTTTAGTTCTGACTCTGGGCACTAACAGGAGTCCAGTCCCTGTGCTCCTCAGAGTCCGGGCTGGTTCATATGGGTCTAACATGTCACTAATATATTTTGGTGCGAGGCCATGGAGAGACTTGTAACAAGCAGAGCTGTTTTAAAGTCCATTCTCTGAGCCACAGGAAGCCAGTGCAGAGACCTGAGGACCGGACTAATATGGTCGTACTTCCTGGTTCTAGTCAGGACTCGAGCTGCTGCATTTTGAATGTACTGCAGCTGTTTTACAGCCTGTTTGGACAGACCTGTGAGCAGGCCATTGCAGTAGTCTAACCTACTGGAGACAAATGCATGGATAAGAATCTCCAAGTCTGCTTTAGACACTATGTTTTTGATCCTGGCAATGTTTTTTAGATGGTAAAAAGCTGCTGCGCCCTCCGGCACTTTCTCTTTTGTGCCCTGACCGAGTCTGCTTTAGCCCACGGTGCCTTCTGCTTATTTGTCACTATTTTAACCTTCACAGGGGCAACGGTATCCAGAACATTCAATACACTAGAGGTGACAGAGTTAAACAGTTCATCTACAGTAGAACACGATGCATTCTCAAAGTTTATCATTCCTATAAATAGATCACTCGTATTTTCATTTATGTGTCTTCTTCGAACAGTTGCAGAGTCCACTGGTGGTTTGTTAGGGAAACAAATGTAAAAAAAAAACACAGAAATGATCCGAAAGAGCAACATCGACCACGTTTACATTTGAAATATTCACCCCCTTAGTAACTAACAGGTCTAGAGTGTGCCCTCTGCTGTGGGTGGGGCCACTCACATGCTGAGTGAAAGCGCAGAGAGAACCATGAAGACAAAGGAACACACCAGGCAGGTCCGAGATGTGGAGAAGTTTAAAGCCGGATTTGGATACAAAAAGATTTCCCAAGCTTTAAACATCTCAAGGAGCACTGTGCAAGCAATTATATTGAAATGGAAGGAGTATCAGACCACTGCAAATCTACCAAGACCCGGCCGTCCCTCCAAACTTTCATCTCAAACAAGGAGAAGACTGATCAGAGATGCAGCCAAGAGGCCCATGATCACTCTGGATGAACTGCAGATAACTACAGCTGAGGTGGGAGAGTCTGTCCATAGGACAACAATCAGTCGTGCACTGCACAAATCTGGCCTTTATGGAAGAGTGGCAAGAAGAAAGCCATTTCTCAAAGATATCCATAAAAGGTCTCGTTTAAAGTTTGCCACAAGCCACCTGGGAGACACACCAAACATGTGGAAGAAGATGCTCTGGTCAGATGAAACCAAAATCGAACTTTTTGGCCACAATGCAAAACGATATGTTTGGCGTAAAAGCAACACAGCTCATCACCCTGAACACACCATCCCCACTGTCAAACATGGTGGTGGCAGCATCATGGTTTGGGCCTGCTTTTCTTCAGCAGGGACAGGGAAGATGGCTAAAATTGATGGGAAGATGGATAGAGCCAAATACAGGACCATTTTGGAAGAAAACCTGTTGGAGTCTGCAAAAGACCTGAGACTGGGACGGAGATTTATCTTCCAACAGGACAATGATCCAAAACATAAAGCCAAATCTACAATGGAATGGTTCACAAATAGACGTATCCAGGTGTTAGAATGGCCAAGTCAAAGTCCAGACCTGAATCCAATCGAGAATCTGTGGAAAGAGCTGAAGACTGCTGTTCACAAACGCTCTCCATCCAACCTCACTGAGCTCGAGCTGTTTTGCAAGGAAGAATGGGCAAGAATTCCAGTCTCTCGATGTGCAAAACTGATAGAGACATACCCCAAGCGACTTGCAGCTGTAATTGCAGCAAAAGGTGGCGCTACAAAGTATAAGCGCAAGGGGGCCGAATAATATTGCACGCCCCACTTTTCAGTTTTTTATTTGTTAAAAAAGTTTAAATCATCCAATAAATGTTGTTCCACTTCACGATTGTGTCCCACTTGTTGATTCTTGACAAAAAATACATGTTTTATATCTTTATGTTTGAAGCCTGAAATGTGGCAAAATGTTGAAAGGTTCAAGGGGGCCGAATACTTTTGGAAGGCACTGTAGTTAAAGGGTTCAATATTACTTGGTGTTGGTTTTAGGCTTTTAGTATAAATGGTAGGTGGGTATTTTAGATGGGTTATGGGTTCGGGTTTTGTAAATGGAGTTTTAAGTTGTTTTATTAAAGCTAAGCATATTTTAACACCCCTGCTTTTACAACTTGGTCTTACCCAGCAGTCGGCACCAGATAAAAGGACCTGGGAAATGTCAGTCTGGGCTCTGCTGCTGGAGAAGAAGCACTCCATTTGCACAATAGCACTTTAATTGCCTGTTTGCACTTTTGTTTGTATTTTGAGTTCACAAACACTCGAGAATACATCTTGCCCCGCTCCCGCCATCCCTTTTCGAGTAGAACATCTAGGTGTTCAAGCCAATCACTCGCCAGTCTGGGGGTTTAGGGCGGGATATCCGGGTTTGACGAAAGCAAGAAGTGCCGGGTCGAAGCAAAACAAACATGGCTACGCAGGAGGACGGACGCGTAGCTGAGGCTATCAAGTCAGTTTTAGCAGAATCTCCAATTTCTTTTTTGAAAGATGAACAGCGAGAGGCACTTTGTGCATTTCTGGACGGCAAAGATGTTACCGGGATTGGTTTAAGTCAAACCTTGGTAGGCGGGCACACAGCGTCACTTCGCCCAATCAGCTTGAAGTATTCTGCTGCTTATCCCTCCTTTCCCCGAAAGGATTCTCCTGCAGAAGTCCCAGATTGATATTGTGGAGAACGCATTAGAGTTCTACACAATCATTAATCTGGCTCTTGCCAGGTTAGTATTTTATTGAAAAGCCAAGAAAAGTCAAAAATATGTGGACCACGGCGACCTGTTTGTGTTTATAATTGCTTTTTAACTGCACTCCAACCCGCTCACGGCCGACCTGCCTCACACAGTGTTAGCGATAGCATTAGCTTGAGCAGCACACATACCCAGTTTCTCCACCACGTACACCTCGTTGGTGCTGTTGCGGACGCTGTAGGTGAAGTAGAACCAGCAGTCGTTCTGGTCGCGCTCCTTGCAGTGGGTGAGGGGGAAGGTCTGGTCGGTGGGCTGAGGCAGACTGCTGCTGTCCTTCACTTTGATCATGGAGAAGTAATTGCAGTCGCGCTCACAAGACTCCTTCTTCTCACCCGTGTCGAAGGCCCGGCACTGCACACAGTCCCTGAGAGAGAGGAGACCAGGTCAGACCAGAGAGAGACCAGTGAGGCCAGAGAGAGACCAGAGAGAGACCAGAGAGAGACCAGAGAGAGACCAGAGGGAGACCAGAGCGAGACCAGAGCGAGACCAGAGCGAGACCAGAGCGAGACCAGAGAGAGACCAGAGAGAGACCAGAGAGAGACCAGAGAGAGACCAGAGAGAGACCAGAGAGAGACCAGGACTCTTGTCCATGGAGAGTCCAGACAAACACTATGGTGTCATTAATCCACTCCTAATAAATGGTCTACGGACTAGACTCCCTGAAGAATACAATGTTCTGTGTATGCAACACAGATCCACAGGGGGCGCCATGGAGCTGCAGGCGTCACTCACTTGTGTTCGGCGCACACTCCGGGGCACGTGGGGCACAGCTCGCAGGTCGGGCCTTGGAACTTGGGGTCGGTACATTTGCAGATGCCGCACTCACATGAGCCCCTCCCGTTGCAGATCTGACCGTTCTTGGCCAAACACGACGTCTGGTCCAGAGAGCAGTCGCACGCGCTGCCGGTGTAGTTGGCGTCACAGATGCACTTCCGGCACTCGCATCGGCCGTGTCCTGAAGAGACAGCATTTACAAACACTTAATAAATCCTTTTTTTTTTTTTTTTATAAAAAATAAAAATAAAAATAAAAATCAAGCTTCCACTTTTTCCAACTTTCTAATAAGAATAACAATAGATCGAAAACAGCCCCTTGTGGGACCCCTCAGCCAGTTTACATAAGACTGTCCTCCATGTTCCTATGCAGTTTCTTGCCAGTCACAGACCTGCTGCTGGGTTTAGCTCCATCCACACTAACTTTCCCTTTTCGATTAGGGGTTACACAGCCTGATACTGCTCTGGTCACTCCGTAGACCAGCCAAGGGGAAGCTTCTCATCCTGAATACCAGGCTGGTGTCTGGTATTGTCTTATTTTTCTACAAGTTTAATATAATATTGCAGTAGAGCGAGAAGCCCCTGCAAACCGGACAGGGGGATTCTAAAGTATGTATACTCTTATCTTAAATGTCTATATTATTTATACTATATAAACTGAGGAGGGCCTAGGACGTATATCAGCAGTGGACTGACCGAGAGCTCCAGTCACCAGTGAGAAGACGATTTGAACAAAAGCTAGCTTGGCATGTGACAATATCATAATATTAACACCAGGGTCACAGAAAAGCACTACACCATGGATTTTTTTAAGCCCAAAATGGTGACTGAGACACAAATGTACTGAGCTAGAGGAGTTTACTTTTCAATGCAAGTCAAACCAGAACAAAACTTCACCATGAGTAGTTCCCTATTGGGCTATTGGTCTGTCTATATCCAGTCTGTTATTTTGATTAAGCTTATTTTTGTATATTATTGTCACATACACATTAAATGAGGTGAAATTATTATGTACCTCCAGCAGATGTTCAGTAGAGTATTCATTATCTTATGGCTTTGGGGGAAAAACCTCCTTCTCATCCTCCTAGTTCTGGCTTTGAGTAGACGACAGCGCCCCCCAGAGGTCAGCTACGTGAACAGTCCATGGGTCGCTCACCTCCACACAGCTTGTTGCTGGAGCGATCACAGTTGAAGTTGTCGCACTCGCAGTAAGTGCCGCTGTAGACCTCGGCGGGGTTCTCTCTCTTTTTGCACTCGCAGGTTCCGCACACGCAGTCTCCGTTGTTGGAGCAGATGTCCGTCCCGTTGTCCCGGCGACAGTTGGCGTCCAGGTCCTCAGTGCGCACCTCGTCTTTGCTGCACTCGCACAGCCGCCCGATGCGACCCTCGTTACACCTGCGACAAGGCGTAACGAGACTTTAGTGTTCGTCAGAGCCAAAATGTGACCAGACAGGAGAGAGACCAGAGAGACAAAAGACCAGAGACAAGAGACCAGAGAAGAGAGAGAGTGAAGAGCGAGACCAGAGAAGAGAGACCAGAGAGAGACAAGAGAGAGATATGAGAGACCAGAGTGTGAAGCCAGAGAGAAGAGGCCAGAGAGAAATGTTTCAAGAATTGTATTAAATAATGACTAATTTATGCAAATTTATGAGCTAATTTAAAAAGAGAGATCAGAGAAAGAGACCCCAGAGAGAAACCAGAGAGAAAGACCAGATAGAGACGAGAGAGACCAGAGAGATGGACCAGAGAGAGCGACCAGATAGAGGGAGACCAGAAAAAAAGAGACCAGACAGAGAGACCAGAAAGAAAGAGACCAGAGAAAGAGAGACCAGAAATAAAGAGACCAGATAGAGACAAGAGGGATCAGAGAGATAGACCAGATAGAGGGAGACCAGAAAGAAAGAGACCAGAGATAAAGAGACCAGAGAGAGAGACCAGAAAGAAAGACACCAAAGAGAGAGAGAGACCAGAAAGAAAGAGATCAGAGATGCTAGAAAGAAAGGGACCAGAGAGAGACAGAGAGACCAGAAAGAAAGATAGCGAGCGCAAGAGAGTTTTTGTACAAGTAAATCAAATGTTAAATGTAGTTTGTGCAGTTTCGTACTTGCAGGCGCCGCACTCGAAGGTCCCGTTTCCCTCGTGGCACTTGCTGCTCTTCTTCTCTCCGCCCGCAGAGCACTCGCACTCACAGATGAAGTTCAGCACCACCTCCACCTCCTCGTTGAAGCCCAGAGGTTTGATCTTTATCACCTCCGCTCTGCCGTCCTCCGGGCACTTCTTCGCCCTGATGGAGATCTGGAAGGACACCTGCAACAACACAACACGACGTCAGACCAACACAACTACTCCCACTCTCTCACTCCGGTCTCTCTCTCTCCTTCTCTCTCCCACTCTCTCACTCTCTCACTCCGGTCTCTCTCTCCCTCTCTCCCCCACTCCAGTCTCTCTCTCCCACTCTCCCACTCCAGTCTTTCCCTCTCTCCCACTCTGGTCTTTCTTTCCCTCTTTCTCTAACCCACTCCGGCCTCCCCCACTCCAGCATCTCCCCCACTCCAGCATCTCTCCCTCTCTCTCTGGCCTCTCCCTCTCTGGCCTCTCCCTCTCTGGCCTCTCCCTCTCTGGCCTCTCCCTCTCTGGCCTCTCCCTCTCTGGCCTCTCCCTCTCTGGCCTCTCCCTCTCTGGCCTCTCCCTCTCTGGCCTCTCCCTCTCTGGCCTCTCCACGTACCTCGTCCCCGATGGAGATGTTGGAACACTTGCGTCCGTTTTCGCCCGTGGACTGAGCTCCGTTCTTACACAGAGACGTGTAGGAGATGGACACGCCTTCAGGAAGTCTGCTGTTCTCCAGGATCACCTCAGAGGACAACGACTGGAACAAGCAGGAGACAGAGACATTATCATCAGGAGATAATAGAGGCCAGAGAGAGACCAGAAAGGCCAGAGAGAGAACCTGCAGAGAGAACCTAGAGAGAGACCAGCGAGACCAGAAATGCCAGTAAGAGGGACCAGAGAGACCAGAGAGAGAGCCTAGAGAGGGACCAAATAGGGACCAGAGAGGGACAGGAGAGAGAGCCTAGAAAGAGACCAGAGAGAGAGCAGAGAGACCAGAGCAGCCAGGAACCAGACAAACACCAGAGAGCCAAGAGACAGAGCAGAGAGAGCCTCTCAGGAGCCTCCACAAACAGTAAGACCATGAGTCTTACATAGTAGTGACTCATGGTGTACATGTTGTTTCCCACTCACGTTGTAGGCGTCGATGATCAGGTCGACCACGTTCTTGGAGTCGGACGACAGAATTCCCACTGCAGACTTTGGGATCAGGTTCTTCAGCTCCTGAAAGAGAGAGCGGGGACATTAAGAGGAACCAGATCTGTCAGAGAACTGCTCCTGCTGGACAGAAGGCCACACAGGGCTGGGGTTGGGGTCAGAGGAGAGGTGGAGAGGTCAGACCTGGTAAACCGGCTGGAAGTCATCTGTCACGGCAAAGATGGTCTGGATGTTGTGGTCGCTGAGTTTCTGGACCAGATGAGCGATGGAAGGGTAATCCTAACAAACAGAAGTTTGAATACAAAGCACGTCCTGCAACGTAGTGGCTCAGACAGAGGCCAGAGATAGATCAGAGAGAGACACGGGAGAGATGAAACACGGTGAGAGAGACACGAGAGAGAGACACGGGAGAGGGACCAGAGTGAGGTACAAGTGGTGTATAGTGGTGGCTCAGAAAGAGGCACAAGACGAGAGGGAGACCAGAGAGGGAGACCAGAGAGATCTTACATAGTAGTAACTCATGATGTTTGAAAGCAGGAAGTTTGCACAGAAGGGTTGAGGGTCTTACATAGTAGTGACTCATGGTGTACATGTTGTTCTCCAGGTGACACTTCCCGTCGTTGGGAAGAACGATTCCGCCAAGTTTTCCGTCTCCGGCAAAATGGAAACCTGCGTCAGTGGAGAACACCAGCAGCCGGGTCACGTTCCTCCAGCCAATCTGCTCCTGTAACAAGACCTGGTTCAGTCCTGGTTCAGTCCTGGTCGGTCTCCCTCTCTGGTCTCCCTCTCTGGTCTCACTCTCTGGTCTCCCTCTCTGGTCTCCCTCTCTGGTCTCTCTCTGGTCTCACTCTCTGGTCTCACTCTCTGGTCTCACTCTCTGGTCTCACTCTCTGGTCTCACTCTCTGGTCTCACTCTCTGGTCTCACTCTCTGGTCTCACTCTCTGGTCTCACTCTCTGGTCTCACTCTCTGGTCTCACTCTCTGGTCTCACTCTCTGGTCTCACTCTCTGGTCTCACTCTCTGGTCTCACTCTCTGGTCTCACTCTCTGGTCTCACTCTCTGGTCTCACTCTCTGGTCTCACTCTCTGGTCTCACTCTCTGGTCTCACTCTCTGGTCTCACTCTCTGGTCTCACTCTCTGGTCTCACTCTCTGGTCTCACTCTCTGGTCTCACTCTCTGGTCTCACTCTCTGGTCTCACTCTCTGGTCTCACTCTCTGGTCTCACTCTCTGGTCTCACTCTCTGGTCTCACTCTCACTCTCTGGTCTCACTCTCTCTCTCACTCTCTGGTCTCACTCTCTGGTCTCACTCTCTGGTCTCACTCTCTGGTCTCACTCTCTGGTCTCACTCTCCTGGTCTCACTCTCTGGTCTCACTCTCTGGTCTCACTCTCTGGTCTCACTCTCTGGTCTCACTCTCTGGTCTCACTCTCTGGTCTCACTCTCTGGTCTCACTCTCTGGTCTCACTCTCTGGTCTCACTCTCTGGTCTCACTCTCTGGTCTCACTCTCTGGTCTCACTCTCCGGTCTCACTCTCCGGTCTCACTCTCTGGTCTCTCACCTCGCACACTGCCACCTGCATGATGGCGTCGAAGCCTCCTTCTGGTGAGTCCAGGTTCCCTGAGATCTGCTGCTGGGACACCAGGTGGTTGAACTGGTCCCCGCGGTCGGTGAGACTCAGGACGTTCTTGTAGCTGAAGGGACTGGTGCAGTTCTGGTTCCCGGTGCACGGGTTCAGGAGCCGCGCCGGCGTGGTGCTGATGTACGGCATCACGGTCTTCTCCACGAACGAACCGAAACCTGGAACCATGTGAGGGACAAGGGAAGGAGTCCGTTCAAAACAAAGTACAAACAGAAAAACGGATTATCCATTGAATCAGATACACTTCAGGTCTCTTTTAGGAGTTGCAGACCAGAGAGAGACCAGAGAGAGAGAGCAGAGAAGGAGTCCAGAGAGAGATTAGAGAGACCAGAGAGGGACCAGAGAAGAACCAGAAAAAGACTAGAGATAGACCAAAAAGAGACCAGAGAGAGAACTGAAAAAGACCAGAGAGAGAACTGAGAAAGACCAGAGAGAGAACTGAGAAAGACCAGACTCTGCTCAAACCAAAGTGCAGTCAGCGATAGTATTTGTTCAGTGTGAGAGTCACCGATGCGGAAGTCCGAGGTGATGGCCTGCATCTCCTTCATCAGCAGCGTGCCCAGGTTCTTCACGTTCTCCAGATCGTCTTTCATGGAGAAGGACAGGTCCATGAGGTAGTACAGGTCGATGGGGTAGTCCTCCGCTCGCTTGAACTTTAGCGAGAAGGTCTGTGGCTCTCCTGAGGACAAGGGAAACACACAGATACAAAAAAAGGTTTTAACCGGACACAACTGAAGGAAAGAAGATAGAAGAGCTGATTTAACTGGACAGGTCTAAGAGACCATGACAGAAACCAGAGATGGAGACCAGGGAGAGGCTCAAGAGAGACCAGAAAGAGGGACCAGAGAGAGGCTCACAAGATAGAGACCAAAGAGAGGCTCAAGAGAGACCAGAGAGAGGGACCAGAAATAGAGACAAAAGAGAGGCTCAAGAGATAGAGACCAAAGGGAGGCTCAAGAGAGAGAGCGACCAGAGCGAGAGTGATCAGAGAGACCAGAGGGAAAGAGACCAGAAAGAAAGACCAGTGATAGACCAGAGAGAGGCTTGAGAGGAGCATTGGTTTTCAGGCCTGATGGTCGTGGGTTTGATCCCCAAACAAGAACTAAATCTAAAATTCTTGCACTAGAGCGGATTTCAGATGAATCTACTGATTTATACACACAAGTATATAGAGTGTTCTGTGCTTCTTTATTAAACTAAAAGATAGATTTGATTTAATTTTTAAGTAGAGTTGAGCTGTACTTAATATTCACTTAACTTGTGTGCCCCGCATTTGGACTGTTCTTTGACTTATGATACAACACTGAATTTTCCCCACTGTGGGACAAATAAAGGATCGCTTAATCTTATCTACAATCATTGACGTCTGCTGTCGTGTCCCTTCACTCTGCCTGAAGCCGTAGAAATGGATCAATAAAGCAGATGAGAATGAATGGATGGATAGATGAAAGCAGACGGAGGAGTTACCTGATCTGAGGGTGAGGGTGAGCTTCTGGGGCTGGATCTGGGTGATCTGCTCCGGCTTGAGCTTCTCGGGGGAGTCCTTCTTGCGGTTGGTGACGGGCTGGTTGCGGTCTATGGTGATGCTGCCGCGCGGGTTCTCGATCTTGTCTGGAGGACACTGGCGCTCGGACAGAGACTGCAGGTCGTCGCAGCGAGCAGACTTGGCCTCGCCGACGCTCAGGAAAGACTGAGGAGGAGAAATATCACACGTTACTGGTGTCAGAAATAAAGTGAGACGTAACACTTTCATGTTTTAGAACGTGAAATAATATCTTCAGTAGAGAATATACGGTAAACAAGTACGAAGGATGAAAAAGGTAACTCATCAGTCACACTTTTGATTAGTCCTCACTAATTGACAGCTAATTAAGTGCTAATTAGTGTATAATTTAGGGTTAATTCGCTCTTAATTAGTATTAGGCCCTTATGAGTCCTTTTTCTATATGGCTTTACACAAGATCTAACTACAAACTGACACTTTCCCACGTGGGTCAGGATCAGGTTAAACTCATTAGCACTTGATAAACTTAATTAGTGAGGGCTAATCTAAAGTGTCACCATCTCATCTTCTAAATAAAAAAAAAAAAACAAATCAAATCAACAAGACAAAAACCTGAATGAACGGTCTGCTCCATTCTAACAAAAATAAAAGTATTGATACAATTATGTTAATTTTTTTTAAGATGAATTAGCCACAGCACGGCTAAACCTCTGGGAACTAATTTATTTGTCATGTCATGTCATTTTCTACTAGGGATGTAAATCGGTGACCGTTTAACCGGTGGTTGACCGCCACAGCGTTAACCGGTCAAAGCTGTCGGTTAAAAAAAGAAAAAGGGGAGAGGGGACGTCTCTTAATAATGCTATTTTAAGCCCTATTTGCACGATGTGACGAGCGGGTCCGTCTCTAGCTGTGTGCGCCAATGTATCAGTAAACTCCGGGACGACTCTCCTGCCGCGCGCGCACAGACACACACACACACACACTTTCCCCCCTCCATACGTAACATCCACACGCATCCCCTCTGTTACCGCCAAAGTTGCACACTGGTTCGGGTCAGAACTACATTGGAGCTTACATTTACACACACATTCACACTTACATACATGTACACACATACCGGTCTGTTGCGCTCCTCTGTGTCACGGAGCCCAAAGAATCCTCACAAATACGCGGCTCCAGTCAAACCACATGGAACATGTTTGTGCTGCTGGTCCTTGTCATTAGATCAGCTCCACACACATCACTTAGTATTAAACTTTAGCGGAGACCTGCGAGACGCGGCTCGTCACTCGCTGCTCTGACCATGTGACGAGCCGTCGTATGCTGCTAAAAAGCTTTAACCCGCAGCTCAGAAGAATGGGAAGATTAAAACAGCAGTTCTCTGTGCGCAAAGGTGCCGAAGCTGTTGCTGGTTTTGGCGCCGCTGTCTCGGCTCTGATCCCGTAGAACGCATAGCTGCACTTATGGAAAGTACGCGGCTCAAAATGGCTGTTATTTCAAAGAACATGGAATATTTTAAATTACGCTGTAAACCGGTTTCAACCGGTTAATGAGGGTCGGTGGTCGGTCATGAAAATTCATAGTTTTTTACATCCCTATTTTCTACCCCTTTATTAGTCCATTTCTAGGTTGGGGGGGGTGTGGCAATCAGAGCTGCCACCCAAGTCTCAATACACCAGTCCCTCGCTGATCCTCCTGCAGGTTGTGAGTCCACGGGAAGATGGCTTCTCCATGATTGAAGACATGGCCTTGGTCTTTCAGCGGGGGCTTCAACTATTTTATTTGCTGTCATTAAATAAATCTTCAGCATTCATAAAAGTGGACTCAAGTTTATTTTTTGTGTTCTGTTGGCACTTATGTTCCAATAATAACCTGCGTTCTTTATGTTTTACGTAACGGTCTTATGGAGGACAGGGGGGCATCGAGTAATGTAAACTGTCATAAGAGCCTCACATTAGCTTCCATAAACCTCCAGAGAAGTTGAAACCAAAGCTAAAATGATCTGTTGCATTTCTTAATTTAAAATTTTTATGTTTTTATGTTTTACAATTGTGATTATTCTTGCTTTCTTGTTGCTGCAGTACAGTGTTCATGGTTTTACACTGATCCAGACCAGAGCAGAGGATTCATGGTCCCAACCAAATAGATCAAGCAAAAATCACACACCTTTTTGTGTGTGCAGTGTATGCATTGTGTGTGTTGTGCGTGCGTACCTCGTCGGAGCACCAGCCGCAGGCTTCTGACACCTGGATACACTCGCCACACGACTGAGCGTTGGCTTTGATACAGTCACTGCCCTCTGTGGAGGAGAGAGGAACTACAGTCACTCACTGAACACAGGCTGGCTGAAGGAGGGAGGGAGAGGGGGAGAGTGGCTGAAGGAGGGAGGGAGAGGGGGAGAGTGGCTGAAGGAGGGAGGGAGAGGGGGAGAGTGGCTGAAGGAGGGAGGGAGAGGGGGAGAGTGGCTGAAGGAGGGAGGGAGAGGGGGAGAGTGGCTGAAGGAGGGAGGGAGAGTGGCTGAAGGAGGGAGGGAGAGGGGGAGAGTGGCTGAAGGAGGGAAGAAGAGGGGGAGACTGGCTCTGACCTTTCTGAGCTCCAGAAAGTCCGAGGAGCAGAGAGACGCAGAAGCAGAGCAGCAGAGCGTCCATCTGGAACCAGAGAAATACAATATTCAAATAGTTTCAATCTTCACCTTTTACACAAAAATCTGTGTTTTTCAGACATCTCTTCAAATGCGTGCGAAAGCTGGGCGTGTTGTTTGGACTCGTGTCGGCTTTTCACTACAGGAAGACGAGGTCGTATCAAAATAAAATTGTTAAAACAAAATACCCACTTTCGAAATACGTTTTTTAAGAGACCAGAGTTAACAGAGAGAGACCAAAGAGAGTCCAGAGAGAGATTCCAGAGAGCGAGAGAGACCAGAGAATGAATAAAAAGAGACCAGAGAAACACCAGAGTCAACAGAGAGAAACCAAGGAGTGAGAGAGACCAGAGAAGGAACAGAGAGAGACCAAGGAGAGAGAGAGACCAGAGAAGGAACAGAGAGAAACCAAGGAGTGAGAGAGACCAGAGAAGGAACAGAGAGAGACCAAGAAGAGAGAGAGACCAGAGAAGGAACAGAGAGACCAAGGAGAGAGAGAGACCAGAGAAGGAACAGAGAGAGACCAAGGAGAGAGAGAGACCAGAGAAGGAACAGAGAGAGACCAGAGAGAGACACCAGAGTTAACAGAGAGAGACCAAGGAGAGAGAGACCAGAGAAGGAACAGAGAGAGACCAGAGAGAGACACCAGAGTTAACAGAGAGAGACCAAGGAGAGAGAGAGACCAGAGAAGGAACAGAGAGAGACCAAGGAGAGAGAGAGAGACCAGAGAAGGAACAGAGAGAGACCAAGGAGAGAGAGAGACCAGAGAGACCAGAGAGAGACACCAGAGTTAAAAGAGAGAGACCAAGGAGAGAGAGAGACCAGAGAAGGAACAGAGAGAGTCTAGAGTGAGGGATCAGAGACAAAAGAAAGACGCCATAGAGAGAGATATCAGGGAGTAGAAAAAACACATAATGGACAATAGAAAGTTTCTCATCCATGTGGACTTTACAGACACTTTCCAACTGATCTTTTCTACAACTTTATAAAGGAAAGAGCAGAACACGCAACAGCCCAAACTTTAACTGACGGCAAGAGCTTCACTCACCGAAGCATAAGTAACACGTGTCTGTCTTTGGTGGAAGACAGAGCCCCTTGAGTCACTATTTGACTCACTGGGCTGAGTCCAATAATGACTCACATCTTCCCTTTTTTACCAAAATAATTGTTCGTCAACCAGTCATTCTTTGAAACTCCACATCTGCAATGAACGCAGCGTGTTTCAACCTGCAGCTAGCGTACGCACACACAGCGATTATCCACGCCCCCACATGAGATATTCATCAGAGCCAAAATGTCTGCAGGGAGAATGTGTTTTCTACTGCAGCTAAAGTCTGAACATGATCTTGGTTCTACATCTCCAGTTAACTCTTCCTTTGTATTAAATTAGGTTATTAAGAAAACATAAAAGAGAAAACACTGTTTTACTCATCAGCCACAATTCAATTCAAATATTTGTTGTAAAGCCCCAGAGAAAATGTAACAGTAGGATGTCATTGTACCACTACAACATAGGGCTGAGCAATAAATCGAATTTTGGCAATTAATCGGCTTTTGAAAAAATCGAATTTGTGAAAAATGTGAAAATCGTGAAATCGAATGAGGGATATTGTGAGAGTTCCAGCAGCACACATCGATTAAACTTGCGATATCAGCACAGTCTGTACAAGACTTTTATAATATGTATTGGGGGAAACAAATAAAAAATAGTTTTGAAACTTAAATATTGAGCGGGAAGATAAACAATATTTTAAGGGCAAAGTCTGTCTTGAGTGACTTTAATGAAAATCGATTTAAAATCGACATCGTCCAAAGCAGGAAGTAAAATTGAGATTTTACTTTTTTGCCATATCGCCCAGCCCTACTACAACATCACACTCGGAGCAGTTTTATGACTTTTAAAACTAAAGTTTTGCACATTTATTTATTGTTTATTTGGACAGTACATGTTCATGAACACATCACTACAGATTGTAGCTTGGGCTCATTTCCATCCATTGTCCCACATTCACACTCACAAACACACACTCATTCACCCTGAACTATTGCACATGTTTTTAGTGGTAGGGGAAACCGTAGCACCCAGAGGAAACCTACGCAGACACGGGGAGAACATGCAAACTCCGCTCAGAAAGGCCCTGTTCCGACCGGGATTCGAACCCAGAACCTTTTTGCTGAGAGGCCAGAGTGCTATCCCTTCAACAGCGCATACATTGGTTTTGGTGATTTCTCAGGTGACATTACATTCTTTGCACTCACATGTTTGTGTTTGCAGTCTCCCCCTGGTGGTAGGACAGAGAGTTACACAAGGAAAGCATTACTTTATCATAATTTTTCTGCTGGGAATATTTCACATTCTAAAGCCATGAAAAGACAAAGTCAAGGGTCTAGATTATTTTCAAAGTGCAAAAACAATTCATAGTTCTCCTTTAACGCCTCTGACACAAACGCAGCTCAAGAGGATCCAGTAAACGACGTCAGAAAAGATATCTATCATACAAAGGAAATGAGCCGAATTATGCAATACTCGGTCATAACAAGGACCTGATGACTTCTCTACAGCTCTCCTTTTTGTAAGGAAAAAGAAAAAAAGATATAAAAAGGTGAAATGGTCATTATTGAGCTGTAAAATATGTTCCAGGTGTTCTGCAAAAGAGGCATAAGATCTGGTTCTACAGCCTCAGTGTGATTTGATCCTGATGGGCCTCAGTCGGAGCCGGGACAGTCCCAGAGGGACTTCATGTCCCAAACATTTTCTGACCAGTATTAGGTCTTGAGCTAAACTTACTGCTTTGTACTTTTATACACTTTGCTCCATAAATAGAAAAAAAAAAGTCTTTTATATTCAATTATCAGGGAAATTGTTTTTTCTAGCAGTGGAGGATTTGTATTCATTTTGATGATGAAGATAATATCAAATGTGGATCCTGGTTCAATTGTGTGTTTGTGATATTAAAGCTGGTTTCCTGATTGCACACAACTGTCCGTCAGTCACGAGTTCTGGCTCTAAGGCCCTGTTTAGATGGAGACGCTGCAAAGCAATTAGCAAAACCATATAATTCTAACTTGCGGCCAGTACTGGGCAGAACTTCACAACACGACACCCCGAGCAGTAGAACCACTTCCTCAACAACATCGTCCTCATGCCACCGCAAAGACGTGAAAGAACCAACATCCTACTGCATTTACCAGCACCAGCAAAACTGAAACTAGAGTAGAGTAGAATCCTCCTCTGTGTAGCGCTCGAAGAGCACACGTAGCATTAGTCGACCCGCCGCCATTGTTGTTTACGTCTGTTCTACTGCACATGTCAAAATGTACGTGGGAAAAGTGGAGGTCAACCCAGCAGAGAATTCACACAGCTGTGAAACAGCTCTCAGCCCAAAGAGTCTTTCAAAACCCATACAAGTACATTCATTTGAGTACTTACCAATACAAGTACTGCATTGTTATCCCTGGGAATTCGTAAAACTAATACAACTGAAATAGCAAATGTTTTATTTCTTATTTCAACAATAAGAAAAGGCTTTAACAATTAAAAATGTCAGCGATTGTTTTAATAGTCAACAATAAGAGCCACTGTCATATTTCACTCATACAAATGCAATGTTGTTGTTGTGCTCCGGTGCTAGCAAAGGTGCTATACTCTGCGTGGTGGTGCGTTTTCAGATGTTAGATCAAGTTGTTGGTGTTGTACGCGTTTGTCACGAGATGGGTCCAAAACAGTTTTGCCTTAAACAACGTACGGTCCACTTTACTCTTGTCACTCATTTACTTCAAAAGACTGACATACGGCCGAGATCCGCTTTCTCGCTGCAGACTTTAAGAGATCACCATGACAACAGGTGCTGAATAGCTGGATGCTGTCTTGAGCCAATGTAAATGAAAAATGTGGGTATCAGTTCCCCAGATCGGGTCCTATGGTATGAGTATGAGTACAAGATGGTATCACCCAGATAACAGACACCATTACTACTCTTCCTGTTGGAAAAAACTATTTTTCCTGTTATTTATGAGGCTAAAGTCGAGAAAGTAAAAATTGATTACTGTTAAAACAGAGACAAGAACAGAAAAGAGGACCGGGAAATCAATGAAAACACTTTTTATAATTGTGAAGATATTTTGACCAAATAATTAATTTTGTTTCTTCACAAAGACTGTCGATTCGCCAACAACAGAACAGAGAATAAAACAGTTCCACCATCGATGATAAACAGATAGTAAACATTGGTCCCAGGTCACTGTTCTTAGACTTGAAAACCCAGTGGGAACAATAGGCTCAGGCTGTAGAACGAACATAAGTTTGATATACTTGAATATATTTCTATGAACAGAATGAGTGCAGCTGCTTGGATTGAAACAGAATTGGACCAAACACCTGGAGGCTCCGTATTGTAGACGGTTGGGCTAAAATATGTTACTTTTAATTATGATTTATTGCCAGAGACAGAGCTGGTGTAGGTTTGGGTTCAGCCTTGGTGAGGACACGACACACATTTAAATTCTTTAAAAAACATTCCATGTATTATGCACCAGTGAGAGCTGAAATGAGTGCAACATATACTGTCGCCTCTATAAATATATAATTTTGGTGGAAACCCGGCACAAAGTATTGTTCAGCCTTTAAACCCGTTTCTTGCAGCCGTGTGCAGCTCTCAGTGCAGTGACAGATTACAACATCCATAAATGTGGTGAATGGTGATAGATCCACAGTACTAGTCTCGTCTGATTACTCACATTTTACGACGTTCAGTGAAGTAAAATACCGGTTTTCTTGACACTGCCCTCATGGCTTCACTGAACACTTTAACCTCTTTACATCCACCCGCCCGCCGGCGGCCGATTTTATTTTTAAAATGTTCTGCTGGCAATAACAGATGCATTTTGAACACCAAACCCTAAAAGCTGTATATCATTTTAAAGCTTATTTTCGTATGTACATTTATATACAAGTGTAAACTACATCAGACTTTGCATTCAAAATTCATAAAATAAGTCACTTCGGAAAAAGTTTTTTACCCTTGGGCTTGTGCTGCTTGTGCTCCTCCCGGCTTCCTATGGCTCTTTCTCTCTGGAACAGTCCATTTAAAAATAATATCCACTTGTATTTCCTAAAGTATAATCCATTCTGGAGAAATAATCCAAAAATGTGCATTTATCTGTAGCGAAAAAACTACAAAAAAGAGCACAGAGGCTGTTCTTTCACTGTAAATGGACTTTTAGCTTTGTTTTCTATGGAGCTATTATTGTTTCAATAATATTTGTGTGTGCGTAAACAGATTTGTGTGGACGTAAAAAGATTTGTGACGGAGCAGCAATGATTTTACGCTCATAAAAAAATTACTTTGAAAATAAAAAATAAATAAAAAAAATCACAGATTAGTAATTTATAAGTATCAAAAATAAAAAATATGGTTTTTATGATCATGAAATGTCAGTAAAGATATTTGGCACAATGCACCACTTGATGAAAAGGAGAAACTGCATTAAAACTATGAAACATAGAAGTCTGAAACTTTAGACAGTTGTTGTCAACAACACAATGACCACAGGGTTTGAATATTGTGAACTTACAATTAAGTATGCCTGTTTTAGGGCCTTTAGAAATTGAAAATTTTAGGCGAGGTTAAAAAAGTATTTTTTCCCAAACTTCAAAGGATGCAGAGTGAAATAGGAATGACAAACATTATTTTAGTATATATTTACATAAACTATAAGGCTCTAGCTTTAAAATGATGCATCATACAAACCTGTGAGATGTAAGATGTGTTTTAAATAAGCAAAGACATTCGGGTATGCCCAACTTTTGTGCACGAGCCAAAATGAGGCGGGTGTTAAGAGGTTGGAAATCGATGCCAGTCGGGCTTTGCTTTTATAAAGTAAACCGTATCTAGCAACTCATAGAAGTTTCTATCAATACTATAAACAAGTACACAAGGAAGACAACCAATCACTGCAGCGAGATGAGCTGGGTGGAGGAGGTCACATGAAGAAACTGGACACAGTGGATTTTGCCAAAGGGACATCATCTTATATTTGGTGAGGACATTTTGATGCTCCCAAAATTAGTGGGGACATGTCCAAACCTACGTCCTTGACCGTTGTTATCCATGAGCTAGAGCTAAACCCTCCTAGAGAGGGCTTAGCCATTCAAATAAAAAAGTTTTTATATCATAATGAATGCATAATTGTCATTAGTGTGTGTGACTAAAGGAGTGGGGGAAACCAGAGTGCCCGAAGAAAACCTCTTTCAGACACAGGGAGAACACCCTTTAATATGTTTCAAGTTCACTGAGCTAATATCAACATTTGTGTCGTCTGCCTCTTACGGACCAATGGCTATATGGCCTTTTATAATGTTCTGTATATGAACCGTTTGATTCTGATTCAGAATTATTTTTATTGTTATTGTGAGTAACAGGAAGTCACAAACTCAGGAAGTCACAGTCCTGCACAGCTCCTGTTCTCGTTCTACAACCGCAGTGTGGCCTTGGTCCTCATTCTACAACCGCAGTGTGGCCTTGGTCCTCATTCTACAACCGCAGAGTGGCCTTGGTCCTCGTTCTACAACCGCAGAGTGGCCTTGGTCCTCGTTCTACAACCGCAGAGTGGCCTTGGTCCTCGTTCTACAACCGCAGAGTGGCCTTGGTCCTCGTTCTACAACCGCAGAGTGGCCTTGGTCCTCGTTCTACAACCGCAGTGTGGCCTTGGTCCTCGTTCTACAACCGCAGAGTGGCCTTGGTCCTCGTTCTACAACTGCAGAGTGGCCTTGGTCCTCGTTCTACAACCGCAGAGTGGCCTTGGTCCTCGTTCTACAACCGGAGAGTGGCCTTGGTCCTCGTTCTACAACCGCAGTGTGGCCTTGGTCCTCGTTCTACAACCGCAGAGTGGCCTTGGTCCTCGTTCTACAACCGCAGAGTGGCCTTGGTCCTCGTTCTACAACCGCAGAGTGGCCTTGGTCCTCGTTCTACAACCGGAGAGTGGCCTTGGTCCTCGTTCTACAACCGCAGTGTGGCCTTGGTCCTCATTCTACAGTCCGAGTCCTGGATCAATATCCCTCTCTCAATATGTGGTTCTCCCCAAGGTTTCTGATTTTTCTCCCACTGGGTTTTTAAGAGTTTTTCCTCTGATGCAGGAGTCTGTTGGACAGTTAGTGTGTAACAAGAAGGACTGTGGTGATCCAGGACACTTTAACATTCTACAACATGTATGGACATTTATCAACATTCATGGACATTGATCTCTCCCTACGGTTTTCATTTTTTCATTTCATTTCATTTCATTGGGGCGACAGTAGCTCAGTTGGTAGAGCATTGGCCTTTGGGCCTGGAGGTCGTGAGTTCGATTCCCACCATGGGACCTACTCCAACTGCTCCCACTGATGACTGCTGTCGTTGTGTCCTTGGGCAAGACACTTAACCCCACGTTGCCTGAAGCCCCCCGCTGAAAGATCAAGGCGGTTTCTCAACTGATGGAGCAGCCATCTTCCTGTGGACTCACCCCCTGCAGAAGATCAGCGAGGGACTGGTGCTATGAGCGTTGGGTGGCAGCTCTCATTGTCACCCCCCCGACCCAGAAATGGACAAATAAAGGGGTTGAAAATGAAATGAAATGATCTGTGCTGACGATTTCAACAGTTTTGTTAAGTCCTCTGAGATAACTTCTGTTGCTGCGGGCCACAGTAACATGAACCGCTGGTTTGAGACCCCAAAAGCACATTCACATAGAGCTGCAGTCGTCAATCGATTAGTTACGATCGAATAATGAAGAGTGTGAAGAGAGAGTTTGACCTGGCTTTAACATAGAAGTAAAAAAATGTTTCAAAACTTTTCATTTAATCAGTTTTCACACAGAAATGCCCTAAAGTAATACTAATAATCATTTTACTAAAACAAAACGATCGACCATAAATCGATTAACCGAGTGAACAACTAAACACGAGCAACTCTAGTTCAGAGGTTTTTTCAAATGCAATCACTGCAGCGAGATGAGCTGGGTGGAGGAGGTCACATGAAGAAACTGGACACAGTGGATTTTGCCAAAGGGACATCATCTTATATTTGGTGAGGACATTTTGATGCTCCCAAAATTAGTGGGGACATGTCAAGGACGTAGGTTTGGACCGTTGTTATCCATGAGCTAGAGCTAAACCCTCCTATAGAGGGCTTAGCCATTAAAATAAAAAAGTTTTTATATCATAATGAATGCATAATTGTCATTAGTGTGTGACTAAAGGAGTGGGGGAAACCAGAGTGCCCGAAGAAAACCTCTTTCAGACACAGGGAGAACACCCTTTAATATGTTTCAAGTTCACTGAGCTAATATCAACATTTGTGTCGTCTGCCTCTTACGGACCAATGGCTATATGGCTTTTCATAATGTTCTGTATATGAACCGTTTGATTCTGATTCAGAATTATTTTTATTGTTATTGTGAGTAACAGGAAGTCACAAACTCAGGAAGTCACAGTCCTGCACAGCTCCTGTTCTCGTTCTACAACCGCAGTGTGGCCTTGGTCCTCATTCTACAACCGCAGTGTGGCCTTGGTCCTCGTTCTACAGTCCGAGTCCTGGATCAATATCCCTCTCTCAATATGTGGTTCTCCCCAAGGTTTCTGATTTTTCTCCCACTGGGTTTTTAGAGTTTTTCCTCTGATGCAGGAGTCTGTTGGACAGTTAGTGTGTAACAAGAAGGACTGTGGTGATCCAGGACACTTTAACATTCTACAACATGTATGGACATTTATCAACATTCATGGACATTGATCTCTCCCTATGGTCCAATACCTTTTTGATTCTCTGATCTGCGCTGACGATTAACAGTTTTGTTAAGTCCTCTGAGATAACTTCTGTTGCTGCGGGCCACAGTAACATGAACCGCTGGTTTGAGACCCCAAAAGCACATTCACATAGAGCTGCAGTCGTCAATCGATTAGTTACGATCGAATAATGAAGAGTGTGAAGAGAGAGTTTGACCTGGCTTTAACATAGAAGTAAAAAAATGTTTCAAAACTTTTCATTTAATCAGTTTTCACACAGAAATGCCCTAAAGTAATACTAATAATCATTTGACTAAAACAAAACAATCGACCATAAATCGATTAACCGATTAAACACGAGCAGCTCTAGTTCAGAGGTTTTTTCAAATGAGTGGAAAGCTCAAAAAAGCCGTGAAATCAGCGCTGAGGAATGTGGCGACCAAGACACGTCTGTAAACGCCAACAGCTGGTGGAGAGGGGGAAAAAAACTTAAATGACATGAGATTAAACGTGGAAAAACCCCACAGAGAAACACACGGACATAAACTGGTGTAAAAACAGCTGTAAATGTAGTTTTGTGGACATTTTCGTCCTCTGTGTTCTGTGTGAGTCATTTTCGTGGCCTAGTTTCAGACAAAGCGTCTTCTGTGTAAAGTTGTGCTGCTAACACGGTGACAGTGGCTCGGAAGCGGCTATTAGTCCATCTTAACCTCATTAAAGTGACATAAAATTGAGGCTTTTCTTGGTGTTTAATACAGTCTTTGTGGATAGAACTGGCTCCACACCCAAAAGTTTAGCCTCGGGACACGGATTCTTCTGCGCGTGCGTCTGCTTTGTTCTGCACGCGCCGCGAGGAAGAAGACACAAAAAACCAATAATAATAATAATAATGTTTTGGAATGGTTCTTACCTCGTGTTGTCTGCGTGTGATATTTCCACATGTGATTAGGTCAAAGTAAAATCCAAATCCAACAAGTGAACGGAACAGACACGAGAGTCCACCCGCGACTGGACCAAAGTCTGGCCCCGCCCACCGCCAGTCCGGCCCCGCCCACCGCCACTCTGTATGGGCGGGGTCAAGGAAAGTAAAGCTAAGAGGCGTAACTTTCAAAAATGACAAAATGACCTATGTATTAGAAACTATTTGAGCAAAAAGTCATCTGCTGCTACTGCTGTTTCTGCTGTTGTTTCTGCTAGTACTACTGCTATTATACTACTACTACTACTACTACTACTACTACTACTGCTGCTGCTGCTGCTGTTATTGCTACTACTACTACTGCTGCTGCTACTACTGCTGCTGCTACTACTACTACTACTGTTACTACTGCTATTACTACTACTACAGCTACTACTGCTGCTAATATTACTGCTATTACTACTACTACTACTGCTGCTGCTGCTACTACTGCTTTTAACAGACTTCTCACTGGTTTTAACAGAAGGGAGCACATCACCCCTGTTTTAGCGTCCCTCCACTGGCTCCCTGTGCGTTTTAGAATTGATTTTAAGATTTTACTGATTACTTTTAAACCTCGTTTAGGTCCAGCACCCAGCTATATTTATGAACTTTTAACCCCCTACAAGCCCCCCCGCAGCCTTAGATCCTCGGGCAGGTCCCTGTTGACCGTTCCAAGGTCAAGGCTCCGGACGAAAGGTGACCGAGCCTTCTCTGTCCAGGCTCCTTGGCTTTGGAACGACCTGCCCGAGGAGATAAGGCACCATCAGTCTCCTCGTTTAAATCACTTCTAAAAACCCACTTTTATCAAACAGTTTTTAAATGTCAGCTTTAAACTTATAATGTTGTATTTTATGGTCTGTCCTGTCTTTGTTTTGTCTTCTTGTGTTTCCTCTGTTTGTCTTGTCTTCTTGTATTCTATCTTGTTGTTTTAACTTTTTATTATGACTGATTTATTGTTTATTATGCTGACTGTGCAGCACTTTGTAAACATTGTTTTTGAAAAGTCCCGGTCGGACCAGGGCCTTTCTGAGTGGAGTTTGCATGTTCTCCCTGTGTCTGCGTAGGTTTCCTCCGGGTACTCCGGTTACCCCTACCACTAAAAATATGTCCAATAGTTCTGGCATGCGCCTCCTGTACTGGCGACCCCACTCCCATCTCTGTGTGGAGCGAGAGACAAATGCCCAAAATTGACAATTGTAAACCGCTTTGAGACATCTGCAGTGAAAAGGCGGTATATAAATAAAGACTACTTAATTATTATTACTGCTTATACTACTACTACTGTGCAGTATTAGGACTGTATACATTGCTTTTTACTGTAACGCAGTAATCTACGGCATTCCAAAAACAAACTGGGTCATATTTTACTTGGTACAGATGTCAGTTACGTTGCTTTTTAACCCATCATTACATTTTGTTTTATTTTACACTTTACCACTGCGAGATCAGAAGAGCAGAAAAAATCCCCAATAGTAGCCGTCTCGAAGGGTTTTTCCTTTCTGGTAGAAGAAGGTTGAAGCTGAAGCAGGCACTATGTCGGACAATACCACTAAAACATGTGCAGTAGTTCAGGATGAGATGGTCGGAGCTTGGTCTGTATATAAAAAAGGTCTACGTAAATACAGATAATAAAAAAAAAAAGTTAAAACCGAAAAGTTGGGGCTGCACAAGTATGCATAACGTTAATACAAGTATTGTTGGGGTATGACACATCTAGAGGCTGAAATTTTAGCCCATTCCTCTTTACAAAACAACTTTGAGCTCTGTCACATTACTGTATGTATCTATGTGTTATGGTTTGGTACTAATGGTATTATTATTATCGTTTTTAATTGTTTTCCTACTGAGCTTTCATTTTGTGTACGTGTATTATATTACCATAGTTTCTGGACTATAAAGCGCACCTGTATATAAGCCGCACCAGCAACATTTGAAGAGAAAGTAAATGTTGTCCACATATAAGCCGCACTTGGACTATAAGCCGCAGTTTTTCAAGTTGTATGTAGCAGAGAGAAGACTGTTTAAACTGGTCACAACTTGATTTAATGACGAGGCGTTTAGCAGCTTAAACGTTAGCTTCCACAATAAAAATACACATATTAGCCGCATCACAACATAAGCTGCATTGATCAAAGTCCAGAAATTGCTGTGATTTCATGTAAAAAAAAATATGTATGGGAGCATTTAATGATTTCAAGAAGACCCCAGGAAGAATAGGCTAAACTCCCCATGCTAACACCAGATTAGAAAATGAATGTGATTGTAAAGAGGGATAATCCAAGCTGAGAAATGAGCAATACTTTTGTTTTAGAAGATTGAAGACTGCTGAGAGTGATGTCACAGTCGCACAATGACATCACAGAATTACAGGACTGATGACTGATGGATTTCCCACTTGTAAATATGTACTTGAACGCAGCTTTATTAGAGATCAGGGCTAAAGCTTTGGGCTGAAACTCGGGGCTGGATGAGAGAATGGAGACAAACTGAGAGAGAAGTGTTTTATATCACACTGATGGTTTTACTTCAAAACAAACATTTAAGACAAAGATCAATTTAAATATATAATCAGTGAATTTATGGCACAAACGTTTAGCAGAAATATCTCAGATTGTTTATGTATAAAGACTTTCATTGTAAGGAACAACATCTGCTTGTGTTTCCCAAATCACCACCGTGGAGGTTTCTGTGCCTGCGTGTGTGTATGTGTGTGTGTACGTGTGTGTACGGATGTGTGTACGGATGTGTGAGTGTGTGTGTTTGTGTGTACATGTGTGCGGATGTGTGTGTACATGTGTGCGGATGTGTGTGTTTGTGTGTAAATGTGTGCGGATGTGTGTGTACATGTGTGCGGATGTGTGTGTACGGATGTGTGTACGTGTGTGTGTTTGTGTGTACGGATGTGTGAGTGTGTGTGTTTGTGTGTACATGTGTGCGGATGTGTGTGTACATGTGTGCGGATGTGTGTGTACGGATGTGTGAGTGTGTGTGTTTGTGTGTACATGTGTGCGGATGTGTGTGTACATGTGTGCGGATGTGTGAGTGTGTGTGTTTGTGTTTACATGTGTGCGGATGTGTGTGTACGGATGTGTATACGGATGTGTGTGTTTGTGTGTACGGATGTGTGTACGGATGTGTGTGTTTGTGTGTACGGATGTGTGAGTGTGTGTGTGTTTGTGTGTACAGATGTGTGTGTACATGTGTGCGGATGTGTGTGTACATGTGTGTGGATGTGTGTGTACGGATGTGTGAGTGTGTGTGTTTGTGTGTACATGTGTGCCGATGTGTGTGTACGGATGTGTGAGTGTGTGTGTTTGTGTGTACATGTGTGCCGATGTGTGTGTACATGTGTGCGGATGTGTGTGTTTGTGTGTACATGTGAGCCAATGTGTGTGTGCGCTTGTGTAGGTGAAAATGTGTGTGCCTGTGTATGTTTGTAAATGTATGAGTGTACATGTGCGTGTGTATGTTTGTTTGTGTATGTATGTATGTGTGTGTATATATGTGTATATATATGTTTGTATGTATGTGTATGAATATATTTGTGATTGTGTGTATGTATGTGTTTGTGTGTATGTATGTGGGTTTTTGTGTGTGTGTGTGTGTGTGTGTGTGTGTGTGTATGTGTGTGTTGCTGTGGCTGGTGGGTTCCTGAGCGTCTGAAGGAAAAACAGGTCACGGTTCGTGTTCGCCGCATCTCCGTTCGGATCTGAGACTTTTCCAAAACTCAAACACAAACAACAATAAAAACACATTCTTTTTTCGGTTTCCTGAAATAAAAATCTCCATAAATCGACAATATTCAGGATAAAAAACACTGTAATAAAACCTCTACGTACAATCAGTGCATCGAGCGCTGACCCTCTCGTTCTGAAGCAAAACGTTCGTGACAAGTTTGGTCCGGAGCCGATTTTCAGCGTAGAGACAGGGATCTGACCTGACCCAGGATTCGTACATTTAAAGCTGGGGTACGTAACTTTAAATCTGGGGTACCGCACCCTTTATGATAGGATACGTTACTTTCAGACCACAACAATGGAATAATAAAAATATAAATAAAATGTAGAAATGCTCCATACATTCATACACACGAATAAATAGAGCAAAAATACTGGCTTCATTTTCAAAATCGGGGAAATTTTTACTTTTTCAAACATGTTAAAATAAGTGGAGGATTTGTTTTCCTTTAGATAAATAAATACAATTTAAAAAGTTTATTCTGCTTTCATATCGCATGCAAAGTCTAGTATATTCCATTTCTCTTGTTCCTGCCTCTAAAACACGTCACTAGTTTTCACATACATGTTTTTTTGCCTCTGTCACATCTTAAGATCCGCTTTTTCAGACAGAAAAGTGCCACAGCCAATCAGCTCTCAGCCCAAAGAGTCAAATAGTGACTCACAGGGATCTTCCATACCCAAAAGATAACACGATGAAAATATCTTGTTGTGGTCTGAGTCTTACTTTTACAAGAGACATTTTTTGGGAAGGGGTTAGGTACCTCCGCTTTAAACCCACCTCCTTTAGATTGTCTTCACTGAACTCGCTCCAATAGAAACGTTTGAAATGACGACGTCGCAGCGTTGTTTTGAATCAGAACGAGGTCAAAAGGCAGCGCTGCGGCTCGGACGGAAATGTAAATACTTTATGTTCAACTGTACAAGAAAGATCTGACGCAACAAAAGACAACAAAGTCATAAAGGAAAGGCACCGAGTGAAGAGACCCTGATCTAACACACACACACACTTACACACACACACACACTTACATACACACACACTCTCATCATGAGGTCACCGGGTCTGCACTAACTTTTACAGAATCATGTGTTTAAACAGCAGCGACAAAAATGAACGCGACACGTTTCAGACCGGAGGGACGTAACACTGGTGTCTCCTGGATCAGGGACAGAATCTGAGGACAGGGCATTTTGGCTCTGATGAACTGGATCAGGGACAGAATCTGAGGACAGGGCATTTTGGCTCTGATGAACTGGATCAGCGACAGAATCTGAGGACAGGGCATGGGCAGGCAGGCAGGACAAACTTTTCCTCCTGAGGGCCAGATTGGACATTTTTACACATAATTATTAAATTATGTATTTCGCGGAAGAGCAAGAAGCACAATTTTGGCTGCAGAGCTCTGCACACAGCACAGCGGGGTTTTATTGTCTTTACACTATATTTATATTAACTGAGGAGGGCTCAGGGACCTGATAGAAATGTTCAAAGGGCCGCATCTGGCTTTGCCCACCACTGAACTAGAATATAGATAGACAGGGCCTTTTGGCGCTGATGATCAGGAACATGGACAGAAGCTGAGGAAAAGGCATCTTTCATCTTAAGATAGGGTTCAAAAGACATTCAAAAGACATTTCGTCCCTCCGGCCTGTACAATTCAGCAACAGAGCAAAACAATGAAAACCCATTGGTGAAAGAACAATCTCATTCAAGTGAAAAACAGAGTCAATGTTTGATAAAAAACGATCACACCAGTGTCCTCCCGGAGCGTACGGTCACACCAATGTCCTCCCGGAGCGTACAATCACATCAGTGTCATCCCGGATCGAACGAACAATCCAAGCCGCAGTCTCCAAGATGGCGGTCCATTAAAGTCTATGGCCTGTGCTCATTGGTGCATGCTCAAAGTCGACCGCTTCAAGAACTAGCGAAAGACTAGCATTGCAGCTAGTTCTGGTCCTCTGGGCATGTGCAGTCAGTGCGCATTGGTGCTACTTCCAATGATGCGCGTCGAGAGAAACACGAGAGTGTTGGGAGCAATCAGAGCGACGATTAGAGGGGGATTAGTGTGTTTGATTTATAGAAAGCATTGCAGGTGGCCTCTAGGCTCCTGTTGGAGAGGGGCTTCACCAGTGTCCTCCCGGTCACATGTCTGTAAAGTCTTTGTACACCTTCTAACCCTTTCTTTGACCTGACTAGTGTCTCTAAAGTCATTAAAAAGTCTGCTCTAATCCATAGAGCTGCGCAAAAGCCAGTTATGAAAGAGAAACTATGGCAAAAAATGTGTGGAAAATTCTAACTTTTGCTATTGATTGGCCCTCACGCCTCTATGCTGCACCTGATTGGCTCTCACATGTCACCACTACTCCTGATTGGCTCCATGAGGATTAGAACTAACTCACATGTCACCGGCGACCGCTACTTATGATTGGCCCTCACACCTCACCACTGCACCTGATTGGCCCTCACGCCTCGCTGTAGTTCTCTGCCTGTGCTAGCTTGTCGCTCTTTAGCTTGACGCCGTCCACCAGCTCAAAGTTGTAGTTCTGTAGCGCGGACACGTTGTTGCGCGCGCCGAGGCTCTGGGCGCAGGCACAGTAGAGCAGCACGCCACAGACCGCGCCCACGCACACGCCGAGGGCCGACATGGCGATGATGGTGATGAGGATGGGGTCCAGCGTCCGCAGCATGTTCCCCGGAGCGCCGAGCTCGCTGTGCGCCGACGAGTCCATGGCTGAAACCGAAAGAAGCAGATTAGAACAAACTCACGCACTATCTACTTCTTATCCTGCACTATATGCACAGTACATAACTCTGCACTACTACATATATATATATTTTATAGTGCTGTCCAACGATTAAAATATTTAATCGCGATTAATCGCATGAATTTCATAGTTAACTCGCGATTAATCACAAATTAGTCATACATTTGTATTTATTCTTTATGTCCCTTGAATTAATTAAAATAAAATAAAAATAATAAAATAAAATTAATAATAATAATAAAATAAAATAAAAAATGAATGAATAAGTAGATAAATATAACAATAACATAATATGTGCATATGTGCATATAATGATAATACACAAGTCAGGGTAAGCGAAAGCTTATTTTAATGCATGACACGTTTAGTTAAGAAAAACACTTGGGAAAAAGGAACAAAATAAGAGAGGGAATGGGCCGGGCGTGGGCTCCCTCCCCCCCTTTTTGGGGTGGGGGCCTGCTTGGGGGTCTGTGTGTGTGTTGGATTTGGTTTTGATGTTGGCTGGGTTCCGCTTAGCTTGGTGAAACTCAGGCGGGCAGACTTTATATCTTATCTTATCTGTGGGGTGTATGTGTGTGTGTGTGTGTGTGGGTATAGACCATAGACTGTATAGAAACATCATGGTGTCATTATGATGATGATAAACAATCTGTAAATATTTTGTAAATTTGTTCATGTAAATACTCTATGCTGTTTCTCTGTTTACTTTCGGTATATCTATGACTGTATACTGTTTGCTTGTATTGCCTTTTTTATTAACCCCTCCCCCCCATCTCCCACTTCATGTCCCCCCCCCCCCCCCTCCTATGTGCCCTTCTGGGTTTCTTCTTTTGGCCCCCTGTATCTCCAACTACATATTGTTTGTAATCTCTGTCTACATGTTTTTTTTTTTATCGCGCGATAAAAAAAATGACGCCGTTAATATTGATTTGCGTTAACGCGTTAATAACGCGATATTTTGGACAGCACTAATATTTTATTTTGAAAGACTGGTATCGAAGTATTTACAGATAGTTAAGTAATATAACTACTACTTATTTGTATATTGTGTGTGCTCTTACTACTGTCCTGTCTGTGCGCTGCAACATCGAAATTTCCCCACTGTGGGACGAATAAAGGAACTCTTATCTTATCTCCGGCGTTGAAACTTATGTGCCATCACTTTTGCCGTCTGTGGGCAGTTTCAAAATGGCCGCATGTGACAGCTGCGCAAGCCCCATTTGAGGGCCTTTAAAATTCCACAGCGACTAAACTAGAGTGATCCAAAAAAGTACACCCCCCTCAGCATTGACACATGTGGGACGGAGCTTTGGGCCAAGAGCCAACTTTTGGACCATCCTGTAAAGGTGTTTTCCAGAGGTAAGAAGATTAGCCTTGGCTGATTATTATTCCGGGTCCACCCCCATCGGCCCGGGGTGGTACGGCAGCATGTCAGCGAAGGTCATTTTGACATTTTTGCCCCACTGTTTGTTACCCCCTGTGTCTCCCTGTTGTCTGATTACCTGCCCCGCCCTCATGTGTGTCACCTGTGTCTCAGTCTGTTTCTCAATTGTCATTCCCACGTCAGTTTTAGTTCTTGTCCTCGAGTCCTGTTTTGTAACATTGGTGTATTTTTCTCTCGTTTCTGTTTTGTATTACATTCTATTAAATCCTTCATTTTTGCAGTTCTGCGTTTTGGGTTTATTTTGTTTTGCCACATGACAAATAGTTCAACATGTCTGCTTATGTTTTAGGCTGACACTTTTTGTTTTATAATAATAATTTCAAACATTATGAGGATTAGAGCTAACTCAAACAGTGTGTGTGACTTACGCAGGATGAGGATCTGGTCTGGTGACGCTGTGGGGACCTCTGGGTCTGAAACACAAGAGTTTGTTTGGTGTTTGCACTTATGTTGCCACAGTTTCACTTCGTGCTGAAACTGACCTCTGCAGTCCTGCGGCTCCAGACCGTCCAGGATCTGAATGTTGTCCACCGCCACGTGTCCGAAAGCGTGTGAGGGAGCCAGGCCTTCAAACACCACCTGAAACAACAACCGGATCAGCTCTGTGGAGAGGCGAGGCACTGAAGAGGAGCTCCCCAACAACAAAATAAACAAAACTCCATTTAAAATAGACAAACTATTGACTACATTTCTATAAATATATTTTGTTTATTTGGTTGGGACAGTACATGTTCATGAACACATCACTCTGGATTGTATCGTTGGGCTAATTTCTATCCGAATGTGGGATTTCTATCCCACATTCACACACTCATTCACCCTGAACTATTGCACATGTTTTTAGAGGTAGGGGAAACCGGAGTACCTGGAGGAAACCTACACAGACACAGGGAGAACATGCAAATTCCAATCAGAAAGGCCCTATTCCAACCGGGATTCGAACCCAGAACCTTCTTGCTGAGAGGCGAGAGTGCTATCCACTCCGCCACCGTTTTGTTTCTTATAATAAAATTCTATTACATTTTTTTTTGTATAGCCTAATGCCATGTCCACACGTAGCCGGGTATTTTTAAAACCGGATATTTCCCCCCTTCCATTTATAAAATAATTTGCATCCACACAAACCCGAACATCTGTGATTTCAATCACATTCATAACATTCCAAACATGTGCGTCCTCTGACGTCCTGCGTTGGGGAAAAACACAGAAGTGGGCGGAGCTTTGATGCTGACGCCGCTACTTCTGTAGCGGCACTTTTACAGTCACAGAAGAAGCTCAGGGTGAAGACATGTGTTTACAAGCACTGACCCCCGTCCTCAGCACTGGTTTAGTCCTGGTTTAGTCCTGGTTTAGTCCTGGTTTAGTCCTGGTTTAGTCCTAGTTTAGCTCCTGTTTTGGTTGTTTTCGAGCGTGAGTCCTGTTAGTATTAGATAGCAATATGGCCTACGTGCAGGACTCCACAAGGACTCTACAAGGACTCCATGTTATGACTATGATTTGACTGTCTCTTTGTGACACGTATGTCTTTCGATGTGTGACGTGACAATGACTATATAAACTGTGTACTGACTTTATTCTGTCTGAGAGAAAGAAACAGAGTAAACCAGTGGAACTTGAGAGAAACTTAAATAAACTTCCAGAGTTTGGCACACCACGATCCGTCTCTGTCTGCTAAATCCTAACAGATTTGGTGGAGAATGCGCGGCTCGGTTTGTGCCATTCTCTGGATTGTTTTGAGGGAGCTTGCTCTGTTTCTTTTCCTCTGCGTGAGAGATCGGCATGCTGTGTCTGGGAGCGGAGATTCCAGCAGGCTGGAAGAGCTGTTCCTGGATGCTTCTTGTCGCTTCTGTCACTTTTGTTTTTTAAATTGAATTTTTCGACGCGGAAAAGATGTTGGTCGACCTCTTGAACAGTCCGGACAAAGAAAATAAGGTAAGCAGACACCTTTTTAATATGTAAAGTCTGCATAATTGGATACTAGCTAAATTTTGAGCTGTCCCGGAGGTCTGTCCAAATCTCTCTAAATCAAATTTTCTTTGTTATGTCTTTGTCACGTCTTTGTCATGTCTTATGTTGTAGAAAACAGGTTAGCTGTGTGGGTAACCAGTCCCTATAGGAAAAAGGAACCCCTGACGTATCGGGGTCCCTGTCCTTTGAAGTAGTCAGGACAGAGAGAAAGGAACCCCTGACGTATCGGGGTCCCTGCCTTTGGAGTAGCCGGGGCAGAGAGAAAAAGGAACCCCTGACGTATCGGGGTCCCTGCCTTTGGAGTAGCCGGGGCAGAGAATAGAGAATAGAAAATAGTTAGTGAAACCATGGTGTAATAATAAAAGCAATAAAAAGGGAAACGTGTTAAGGAGGCCTTTTGTCACAAAAAGTTTTGTAATTAACCAATTCCAGGCTTGATAAATGACAAAAGTAAAGAATCAACAATATTTCAGTGATCACGGTTTAAATTACATACAGAAAAAGGAGTTTTTGTTTTCGGCGTGAACAGAGTTCACCGGAGAATGCAGAGTTTTATCTAAAGTTGAGCTATGAGAGCTTTCGTGAGTTATTTACATTTTTTTGCCCAGTTTTATCTACAGTTGAGCTATGAGAGGGTTGTATCCAACAGTTGTTTTTGTTTTTTAGAAAGAGATTTTGAGTTTAAATTAGTTTGCTACCTCAATAAAATAGAAGCGTAAACGTTAAACACTAAAGAGTGCCTTTTGTTACTAGTGTGGAAAGTGATCACTTCTAGATTTGGATGACAAAAGTATAAAGAACAACATAAGTTATATTCGCTTAACAAAGTAATCTTGAAAGTTATTCTTCTGTATCTTTCTGCTTGTGTGTGTGCGCAGCTCTATCTGCTGCCGTTGTCAGGGAAACGGCCCCCACCTTCGCTGCTCTGGCTCTGAAGCAAAGCTACTGCTTTAGGATTTTTGGCTTTTCATAGTTGTTATTCCGTTAAATTTGCGAAATATGCCATTTGAACATTGTGTTATGACACAGTTAAACGTTTTTAAACACCATTAGTGAATAAGTTTTGAATTAGTATGTTTTTGAAACCCAAAGATTAGTGCTAAAGCTGTGCAATTCTTTTTAGACCTAACATATTTCTAGATTCCATTCTTTTTAAATCTGCTGCTTATTTCTTAACTTTTTGTGAGTTGTGTTTGTTTTTATGTTTTTATTTTAGTTACAAAAGCCGTTTTTCAAAACATTTAAATTAGAATCCGTGTTAAAAGTGATTATTGATTATAGACTTCGTCTAAAAAGAAAGAGAGAATTAGGCTGTAAAAGTATTATATTATTAAGTTAAACTACCCAATTCACCCAATTCACATTCAAGCGGTGACTTTTGTTTTTGTTTTGACTACACGCGTGACCTTGCTGCTGCTCAGAGACATGAGGAGGCAGCTCCGACGCACAATTGAGTTTTATTGAACCAAATCCAGTGTAGCTGGAGCTAAATCTTTTGTTTGATTTCAAGTTTTGTTTTAAATGTTTTTACAAATTAATGTTCATTTTTATAGAGATTTTTCATAATTTCATTTCATGGCGTCTTTCAAGAAACCCAAGGACGCATAGATAATTAATCACACAGTACAAAAGTATATAATACATGTTTTAAAGTTTAAAAGGTTGTTTGTTTTGAGTATAATTGTTGTTTTGATAACTTCTTTAGTTTCTGGTCTTCAAATGTCATCATTAGTAAGATAATAAGTAATCTTTATTTACATAGCGCTTGGGAAAGCCAAGAGCGCTTCAAAATTGTTTAGACTTCAGAGAGAAAAACAATCTCATTCACAATCTCTGTTGTTTTTAATTTGACTATAAGGTTATTTTCCAGAACCAAGGGCACACACTGTACAGGGTCACTGGACTGCTGGAGTGGACACTGGACAGCGCAAAGCCCACCCAGCCACAGGTCACAGATCAAAGAGCAAAGGGAAATGCCACCTCCTTGCCCCTCCCCCCACTACAGAAGTAAGTGGGAGTGAGACCGGGGCCATGAAAGAGAGGTATCTGGAGACGTGATGGGTGGAGCATCAGGGAAAGACCTGGATGAGAGTTGAAAGTGTGTCCAGTTGGTTTGCATCACCACAGTGTGACCTTTGAGACCTACAGGTGGTTCGTGGAGTCTGGAGAGACAACCCCAAAATTCACATACACACACACACACACACACATACACTCACACATTCACATTTACATATAGATACATGAAAAAGCAGAACATGAGAAAAAAGCATTTTAAAAGTTTACTCCAATGTAAACACATATTTTTAATTGTCTATCACTTGAATCTTTAGTTGAATCAGTATTTTTTGAGACCAGAAATGTTCATTTGAATTCTATATTGTCATGGACTTAATTGATCTCTGTCCTGACACTTTTGATTTGTTGATTTTGTACTGTGTGAAGTAATTACATTGATGAGAATTAGATCTGATAAAAACACAAATTAGAGAAGTAAACTGAATCATTGCGCTTGCTTTTGTCTAAGGGACATTAGCAACAGCATGAATAGAAATTGTGTTAAAGTAGAATCAAAGTGACTAACCATAGAGAGTAACTATTGCATAACAAGCTGTGTACAGGAACTGAGACACTGCACCATTGACCAGAAGTGCATCGCAAATGACCTGATGTGCTTCAACTGAAAAGACTGTATCTGGAGATCCGATGTCCAACTGGAGAGACCAAAACCATGGCTTGGACCCTACTGATGTCCAAGATGACATCTCTCGAAATATGACCTGACCTGAGGACGACTGAGACTCACCCTCAGGGGACCCTGAGGACCTGAGGACCTGAGAGAGAAAACTGGGGAGTGATGTTTATATTTTTGAAATCATACATTGATGAGTGCTAAATGAGAGAGATACTCATGATTCTTCTTTTGTTTTTGTTTGTCCCTAGCTTCTGGACATCTGATGATCTATTGGACACAGCCATTTGCAGAACAAGAACCAGCCAATGAAAACGTCTATTGCTGATGCTATTGCTACAACCAGAACCACAACTGTGACAAATGCAATATACATGTTAAGTATTCAGACATTTGACAGACAAAAACTTTGAAAATGATAAAGTTTGAGTATTGTAGCGTTTTAGTAGATGTTAAATAGAGTAAAAATAGAAATAGATAAATGCATCAACCATAGATGCTTTCAAAAATAGAGAATATTCTTAGCCAGTGCTAATATCAAATGGTAAAGGGACCATTTCACAAACATTTACTTCAGAAGTAGATAAAGTTACTTACAGTTTATGTACAGTTTTATTAGATACTTGCCAAATTCACTTGTGTTCAAACATGAGTGAATGTTGACTATGCAAAAGTCCATATGAGTGTAGTCTAGATTAATGCCTAGATCAATGAAATAGATTAGAACCAACAGAGATTCAAAAGCATTTAAAAGCATTTTGATGCATTTGGGTGTAGCCCAAAAACAAAATAGTAGATATTTAGATATTGAGAAGTTTCCAGCACAAACACCATTGTGGAATAACTGACCCCAACCCCAAACCTGCTAAAATAGATTAGCACTTGTAAGGATAATACTAATTTGATTATTGACCAAACTGCTTAAGAGGAGGAAGTGACAGCACTTCCTGGTTCAACAAATGTATTTGGAAAACTGACAGCCATAATAATATTCATATTAACCATTTGTCTTTCTGTGTTCACAGTTTTATTCCTGAGAATGAGAATAGACATGGAGCAAAATCCCACTAACAATAAGCCACTGATAATTAGAGTATAATACCACAGAGAGATTTATTAGATTAAAATGTATGTTTAAGAATATGGCTCAATAGAAGCAAATATGCAAACATATTTGTAAATAGATTAGAATAGTTTTAAACTATAGTGAATAGTAAAAGTAAAGTACACAGTCTAAGATTGAAAAGTGAAAACAATACAGTGGAGTGAAGTGTAAACAATCAGCATTAGAAAAAAAGTATAGAGTAATAAAAGTGAAATTAACTTCTAATTTGAGACTCAGCTCGTTTTTTGTCTGTGTTTTGACTGAATCTGCTGAGTTCTTGTGTGTCCAATAGTGTTTGTTTGTTTTTGTTTTGATTTGTTTTTTTGTTTTGTTTATTTATTTACTTTGTTTTTGTTTGTTTATTTTTTCCCAGGATAGAGGATAAAATCCACTGATATTGATTGGATGATTATGAGTTTAATGCATACATTTTCTTTGTTTTTAATAATTTTTTAAAGTTTTTTTTGGGAATTTTTTTTTCTTTTTCCACTTTATTGATTGATCAAATTGAGTGATCACATGTGATTATGTGATCAAAGGGGAGGGTGTTAGTATTAGATAGCAATATGGCCTACGTGCAGGACTCCACAAGGACTCTACAAGGACTCCATGTTATGACTATGATGTGACTGTCTCTTTGTGACACGTATGTCTTTCGATGTGTGACGTGACAATGACTATATAAACTGTGTACTGACTTTATTCTGTCTGAGAGGAAGAAACAGAGGAAACCAGTGGAACTTGAGAGAAACTTAAATAAACTTCCAGAGTTTGGCACACCACGATCCGTCTCTGTCTGCCTAAATCCTGACAGTCCCCGTGATCACTTTGCTGCTCTCTGATGTGGAGGATGTTCGCTGCTGTGAACCGCTCGCAGCAGCGAACAGTTTTTAAGGCAGTAAGATCTATGCTTCAGTGATCAGACGTCGCACGTTTTGTTTGTTGTTGTTTTGGGGGCATACTGTGGCGTGCGAAAACGCAAAACTCCGGTTATCTCTGTCTACACGCAAATGCATGAACAGAGTGTAAAAAAATCTCCACTTTGCCTGGAGGTTTTTAATATATTTGTTTATGATGCATTGTCATGTGGATGACAGGTGCAAACAAAGAAAAATATCTGCGGTTTAGAAGATACCCGGCTACGTGTGGACGGGGCCTAAATCCCAACAGTGGTTCAGGAGATTCCAACAGTTCAAACACAGGAAAATTATTTTTTATTCTGCATAATTAACATTAAAGCAGTGTGTCCGACTCAGTTTTTTGCGGAAAGATATTTAAAAACACAATTTTCTGTAAATATGAATCTGTTTTACCCAGTGTGCTCTCACCTGATAGGCCTCTGCTCTGTGAGGCAGGAGGACACGCCCCTCTCTCCAGACTCCGCCCCCCTCTCCCGTCAGCGCCCACAGAAGCTCCACCTCCTCATTTCCCTTGGCCCCGCTCCTCTGCGTGATGCGGAGTGCCCCCCGGTGGTGGGACGGGGCGTGGAACCAGAAGGAGAGGCAGAGGTCGGCAGAGGGAGAGCTGACTGGCAGACTGACCAGCCGCGCCTCTCTCTCCCCCGGCCGCTCGCCCTCCGCCGCCTCAGACGACCAGAGAGAGAGGAAGTTACCGGCGCCACCTGCAGGACACAGAGGGATCCATTGAAAATAAAAATATATGTTTTTTCAATGATATATATATTTTTTGTGTGTTTACTTTTGAATGCGCCGGAAACTGCAGCAAGTCCTAAGTGTCTCTGAAACAGTCATTGTTTTGTGTTTCACAATTGTTATAAATGTCACTGCAGTACAGTGTTCATGGTTTTACAATGATCTTGACCAGAGCAGAGCGAATTCACGGTTCGAGCCAAGTGGATCACCGGAGGAAGACTACTTTTTTTTTTTCAAATGCTAATACAGCATACAGAACTTCACTCTGAACCAGAGCAGGGATAATGGTCTGAACCAGGCAGACTCTGCAAACATCACCGCTGCTGCTGTGACCTAAACTGAGGCTCCACTTCATTAAGTTTTTTCAAGGTCTCATCAATTTCTTTAAGAATGTTTTGTTTTCAGCAATTTTTTTGTATATGATTTTTCTTCTTTTTACACAATGTAGGTATTTAGACCAAATGATTGCTTTTTTCCAAAAAGTTAGAAAGTTTCCGTTTCAAGCTATAGTGCAGTAGTACTATTAAATCCAATTTACTGATGACTCATAAATGGATTTACAAAGAAAATCAAAGAAAAATCTTCTCAGGATCACAGACAGCACCAATCCATGGATCAAGTCCAAAATTGTGAGTGTGACACAAAAGGTAACAGTTTACTTTTCAACATAAGTCAATGTAGACACAGGGAGAATGTGCAAACTCGACAGTGGCTCAGTTGGTAGAGCATTGGCCTTTGAGCCCAAAGGACATGAGTTCGAGCCCACCACAAGACCTTCACCACCGTTTCCCACTGATCTCTGCTGTCGTTGTGTCCTTGGGCACTTAACCCACTTTGCCTATAAAGAGCACGGAAGTGATGTTCGCTGCTTGCATAGATGTGTGTGTTTGCATCAAACTGAAATTTCCCCATTGTGGGACGAATAAAGGACCTTCTTCTTATTTTTACTGTTTTACTTTTCCCTTTTTTGAGTCGTTCCTTCCCGATGCAGGAGGGTCTAAGGACACTATTTGTACTATTTGACTCTTTGGGCTGAGAGCGGATTGGCTGAGTGATGGTGGTCCTCTCTTTTGTCTAAGAAACGTTGTTGAATGGACTGATTCTGTTCTGAGCTGCAGTTCAGGCAGCGTGCAGCAGGGGGCAGTGTTGCATCAGGAAATACAGGCTGTGTTTCAGTTACAGTGAGACTGGGTCATTTTTAAACTGTGTTTATGACTCACTTCATCTGCAAAAGGCCTCATTAAAAGTAAAGTGCTTCATAATGAAAACCATAATTCTCAGCAGAAAAACTTGAACACAATTTATTAAGGTATTTAAAGAGACAGAACCTATTAACTACCAAAATATGTACTGCTCATGGCTTCTAAGGGAGCGCGTAACTGTAGTAATCCGATAACTTTTAAGGTAACACAGTTCTCTAACGGCTTACATTTTCAACATAAGTAAGTAACTCATGTTTCTTTACTGTAAATAGTGCCTTTACAGACCAGGTCACAAAGTGTTTTACAATTGTCTCTCACTCCACAGAGAGATGGGAGCTGGGTCGCCATACAGGGGACGCGTGTTTGACCTACTGTGCATGTTTTTAGTGGTAGGGGAAACCGGATCACGCGGAGGAAACCTACGCAGACACGGGGAGAAAAAACAAACTCCAATCTAAAAAGCCCCGTCATTAGCTTACTCTGATGACAACATAAGTCATTAAAGTAAGAGTCTGGATAACTCGGCAGAGCATCAGACCTTTCAATCTGAGGGTCCAGTGTTGCAGTCCCAATAGGGCCTTTTTTGCAAATTTCTCCTGTGTGAGATCAATAAGGTCTATCTTATCTTATCTTATCGTAATATTATTACTAATCCAGATATGTATTATTTTTTATCACCTGTGCTCTGCACTGGTCCCCACATTGATCGTGAGTGTATATCACCTGTACTGTCAAGAGTTGGTCCCCGGAATTCTGAGGCCCCGGGCTCCTGGATCCTCCACTCGGCCCCCTGGCCCCCCTCACTGCTCCAGCCGCACATAGACGAGAAGTCGAAGTCACAGGCAAACCACACGTACGCTGGGAAGACAGGGAGAGAGTATTGATCTTAAACTGAGCTGTGTTCACTCAGAGATGGGAATTCAGACACAATAAACGTGTTTTCTAGGCCGTGGCTTACATGTGAGGGTGAAGCGACAGAACAATACTTTTGATAATGGGGTTTGGGTGAATTAAGCTCTTACTGTCAGAGTTTGGGCTCTTGCATGCACTGCTCTTTACTTAATAAAGTTGTTGTTGTAAAAAATGTGTTGGAAATTGTCTGTCTTGTCCCATGTGGATGAGGAAGTTGCTGTAGTGCTTCTGTATTCACTCGGATCTCTATTAATCTAGTTTCTCTCTCTCTGATCCCTCTATGGTTTCTCACTTTGGTCTCTATATGGTTTCTCTCTCTGGTCTCTCTATTGTTTCTTTCTCTGGTTTCTCTATGGTCTCTCAATGGTTTCTCTCTTTGGTCTCTGTTCCTTTTGTGAACGATGCTCCTGAAAACGACTGCAAGTCCTAAGTAGCTCTAAAACAGTTTTGTGCTTAATCAATTTTTTATTTTTCGCTGCTTTTTTTGTTGTTGAGATGTTGCTGCAGTACAGTGTTCATGGTTTTACACTGGTCCAGACCGGAGCGGAGAGGATTCATGGTCCGAAACAAGCGGATCAGGTGGAAATCCACTGGAGGAATGCTAACTTTTTGAAAAATGCTAATGAAAGCATTTAGCATTTTACTTTGGACTAGAGCAGAGAAAATGGTCCGAACCAAGCGGGTACTCCACCTTTTGACCCGTCCTGCTCCACCCAGAGGCTACTCCACCTCTACTGCTGTGACCTGTCCTGCTCCACCCAGAGGCTACTCCACCTCTACTGCTGTGACCTGTCCTGCTCCACCCAGAGGCTACTCCACCTCTACTGCTGTGACCTGTCCTGCTCCACCCAGAGGCTACTCCACCTCTACTGCTGTGACCCGTCCTGCTCCACCCAGAGGCTGCTCCACCTCTGCTGCTCTGACCTATAGGGTGTTGCTGATTATTACTATTATTGTGTTTTTAGAATGATCAATTTTCTTTTTCTTTTTGCTGCTACTGGACACCTGAATTTCTCCTACGGGGGATCAAAAAGGTATCTATCTATCTATCTATGGTTTTTCTTTCTGGTCTCTCTATGGTTTCTCTCTCTGGTCTCTTTATGGTTTCACTCTCTGGTCTCTTTATGGTTTCTCTCTCTGGTCTCGCTGTGGTTTCTCTCTCTGGTCTCTATATGGTTTCTCTATGGTCTCTCAATGGTCTCTCTCTATGGTCTCTCTATGGTTTCTTTCTGGTCTCTCGATGGTTTTTCTCTCTGGTCTCTCTATGGTTTCTCTCTCTGGTTTCTCTCTGTGGTTTCTCTCTCTGATTTCTCTATAGTTTCTCTCTCTGGTTTCTCTTGTCTATCAATGGTTTCTCTCTCTGGTCCCTCTATGTTTTCTCTCTCTGGTTTCTCTATGGTCTCTCAATGGTTTCTCTCTCTGGTTTCGCTATGGTCTCTCAATGGTTTCTCTCTCTGGTTTCTCTATGGTCTATCTCTGGTTTCTCTCTCTGGTCTCTATATGTTTTGTCTCTCTGGTTTCTCTATGGTCTCTCAATGGTTTCTTTCTCTGGTTTAGCTCTATGGTCTATCTCTGGTTTCTCTCTCTGGTCTCTCTATGGTTTCTCTCTCTGGTCTCTCTATGGTTTCTCTCTCTGGTCTATCTCTGGTTTCTCTCTCTGGTCTCTATATGTTTTCTCTCTCTGGTTTCTCTATGGTCTCTCAATGGTTTCTCTCTCTGGTTTCTCTCTCTGGTTTCTCTCTCTGGTCTCTCTATGGTTTCTCTCTCTGGACAACGTCGATATTGAGCAGAGTCTCACCGGGAATGTCGTCATCGGGGAGAAAAGAGTCGATCACTGCGGTTCCTCCGCCTGCAACACACACAAGAAAAGACTTTTAAAACAGATCTCTCTTCTGCTTGAATTCAGTTGTTGAGCAGTCAATTAGAAAGATTTTTAGTTTTGTGTAATTACTCAGTGTATGTTTATTTGTGCTGTTCATAACTGGAGTCGTGTCTCACCCGTCCCGATGTAGTAGTCCTCCGTGGTCCCAGCCTCAGTCTCAGCTTCGGTCCTGACCTCAGTGGGGGCGGGGCTCGTGGGGGGCGTGGCCTCAGGAGTGGTGAGTTTGTAGGGGGAAGCGTCTGGGGAGGGGGCGGTAACTGTGGGCGTCACTTCTGTAAGAGCAGAGAAGTGGATTCAGTTTGTGCGACCAGAGATTTATAGAGAAGCTTCACATGTGAAAGTTAAGACTCAAAAATACAACACAATTTTATGCGTCTGGCTCTCTGGTCTTGCTCTCTGGTCTTGCTCTCTGGTCTTGCTCTCTGGTCTTGCTCTCTGGTCTTGCTCTCTGGTCTTGCTCTCTGGTCTTGCTCTCTGGTCTTGCTCTCTGGTCTTGCTCTCTGGTCTTGCTCTCTAGTCTTGCTCTCCGGTCTTGCTCTCCGGTCTGGCTCTCCGGTCTGGCTCTCCGGTCTTGCTCTCCGGTCTTGCTCTCCGGTCTTGCTCTCCGGTCTTGCTCTCCGGTCTTGCTCTCCGGTCTTGCTCTCCGGTCTTGCTCTCCGGTCTTGCTCTCCGGTCTGGCTCTCCGGTCTGGCTCTCCGGTCTGGCTCTCCGGTCTGGCTCTCTGGTCTGGCTCTCTAGTCTTGCTCTCTGGTCCCTCTTTTTGGGTCCTCCTTTCCTTCACCTCATGACAGCTAAATTACTAGAGAAACCAAATAACCAAAGGAAAAAAAATTCTATGCACATTTCTTTTGTTGTTTTCTTTCCACAGAGTTGCTGCTTAAACACTGCACTTTTCGAACATATATTGTAACATGCATGACCCACAAGGAGAGCTTACCCTGGAGCTTCCCCTGCAGCTCACAGCCCAGCAGCTCCAGCCTCAGCCCCACCCCCTCCGCTGTGGCCTTCTCTGGGTAAATCCTGAGGAACCGGGTTTGGACCGGACCCAGGGGCCGCAGCTCCGGAGTGTCATGGTTTGTGTTTCCGATGAAGATCTGAGGAGCACACAGGAATGAGCACTACGACCACAACTACACCATCTCATGTTTAGGAATGGGAAATATGTCCCTAAAGCTCGGGGACGCAACTTTAACATGAGGACTCCCGGAAATGTGAAACTACTAGAACTGCCAGAGCCGTCATTTTGACTGCTCACTTTCAAACCAATGGAATTTTGAGAAATTCCCGAATGAATGTTCAGTTTCCACCAGTTGTGACTTTAAATCCGTGGGACGCAACTTTAAAGCTGGGATATGTGACTTTAAAGCTGGGGGCCGTAACTTTAAAGCTATGGGCCATCCTCAGTTTACTGTCAGTCACTAAAAGATGTTTTCTAATAAAACGGAGACAGTAGTTTTAGTCTAATTTGTTGCATTTTAATTTTGCAAATATCTTTCTGTTGGACAATTACATGTGTTATTAATGAGGCTAAAATTACGTACCGCAGCTTTAAGTAGAAAGCAGGAAGTGAAATGCTGGGATGAGGAGCAGAGCATCAGAAGCTCTGGTTTTTGGTGTCGGTCGGAAACGGAATGTTCTTTTTATAAACTTCTGCTTCTCACGATGAAAACCTCATGTTTTTAAATTTGAGCACAAACTTCCCCCCAAAAAACCCACGTAATGAGAGAGGAGGGAGGAGGAGCAGGAGAGGTGGGAGAGAGAGGAGAGAAGGGAGAGGAAGAACAGGAGAGGAGAGACGTAGAGATGGGAGAAAGGAGAGGAGGGACAAGACAGGGGAGAGAAGCGGGAGGAGCGAGGAAAGAAGAGGGATGGGAGCATAGACGTCGGAACTAGGGGTGCGGGGGGTGCGGCCGCACCCCCTCCGCGTGTGCCGGGAGCGAGAAGTTATCACTATCCTGCGTTCCTTGCAGCCCAAAACCCGCTCCATGCTGTCGGAGAAGCTTATGAAGCTCTGTCTGGCTAATATCTGTCGCAGCCTCTGAGCGCTCTTTCTCAGCCTTGCGCAGATTAGAGACCTGGCTACACCAGTGACGTGCGGTGGGGGATCAATCATGTGTTCATATGATTATACATCATATAAACCAACAGGACCTACAGGAACAGGAGCGGCTTATACACAATTTGTTTGGCTACAGCAGAATATGATTTAATGTCTGCATTGTTTTCTCATACAAAACGCAAACGTTTGTAAAAAGTACAAAGTGTGTTATGGGCCTTACCTTAGGTATTAATGAACAGCACAGACCACTTCAGTTAGGACCAGTTTCATGTTTAAGTCCAGATAATAGTTTGAGCACAGACATGTAATCCTCCATTTGGAAATAAGTTCAATGAGTTTTAAAAAGTAAAAAAAACAGGTGTCTCCTCCGTAAACTCCGAGTTTTGCTGCAGCCGACTCCCGGGTAAATCCAATTTCTAAATTCAACCTTACCCTTCACCTCCTTTTCTTATGATTCATATCATCATTGGAAGCAAAACATTACTCGAAGTGCATTTTAAATTATCTTAAAATGTATTATAGGTATGTTAGCCAAACCTGTAGCTGCCCTTAGCAGAAGAAGAACAAGAAAGGAGCTTTCTGATGGAATTGGATGCAGCCAAAGTTTGGGCTCACAAGCGCCCCCTTGAGGCTTTCCTCACTTACAAGCAGTGGTTGAGCGCGATTAAGACCCATATTTGCTTCAAAAACACAATTTATGAGCCATCCTCTTAAATGTAAACATGTTGATTGTAAATTAAATATTTTTGGACTTTTTAAACTGTGATAAACAGAGAAAACAGTTTGATAGCACCTCACAGGACTCTCCCTGTGAGCTGTTGCTTTTTACGTCTCCCAAGAGAGGCTCGCCTCACAGCACCGCTCTGTCAAATCTGCGATTTCAAGGTATAAATAAATGAAATAAGGCACAGCACAAATCACTTGATAAAGTGACCAAACATTATTGTATCCATTTTATTACTTTTCTTTCTATGATCTTAGGTGAGGGCCTTGCCTGCCTCATCTGACCGCACGTCACTGGGCTACACAACACAATGAAGCCACCGGAGAGACTGACGCATGAATGCGTATTGAAAAAAAAAAAGTTCAGTTTGATAAGTGACTCGCTTGATATATATTGTTTATTTTGTTTTTCTTAACAATTAAGATGGTATGTTATTATCCAGTGTAATCCAAGTATGAGTCTCTCCCTCGACTCTCCCAACAAAAACCCGCCCCCCCTCTCAGAAAATAGTTCCGACGTCCATGGATGGGAGACAGGAGGGAAGAGAGGAGAGAGAAAGAGAAAGATGAGAGACACTTGAGGAGAGAGAGGAGGAAAAAGAGGAGAGCGGAAGGGAGAGAGGAAGAAAGAGAGGAGAGGGGGAGAGAGAGGAAGAAAGAGAGGAGAGGGGGAGAGAGGAAGAAAGAGAGGAGAGAGGGGAGAGAGAGAGAAGAAAGAGAGGAGAGGGGGAGAGAGAGGAAGAAAGAGAGGAGAGGGGGGAGAGAGAGAGGAAGAAAGAGAGGAGAGGGGGAGAGAGAGGAAGAAAGAGAGGAGAGGGGGAGAGAGAGAGGAAGAAAGAGAGGAGAGGGGAGAGAGAGGAGGAAAGAGAGGAGAGGGGAAGAGAGGAGAGAGAAAGGGAAAGATGAGAGACACTTGAGGAGAGAGAGGAGGAAAGAGAGGAGAGCGGAAGGGAGAGAGGAAGAAAGAGAGGAGAGGGGGAGAGAGAGAGGAAGAAAGAGAGGAGAGGGGGAGAGAGAGGAAGAAAGAGAGGAGAGGGGGGAGAGAGAGAGGAAGAAAGAGAGGAGAGGGGGAGAGAGAGGAAGAAAGAGAGGAGAGGGGGAGAGAGAGGAGGAAAGAGAGGAGAGGGGAAGAGAGGAGAGAGAAAGGGAAAGATGAGAGACACTTGAGGAGAGAGAGGAGGAAAGAGAGGAGAGCGGAAGGGAGAGAGGAAGAAAGAGAGGAGAGGGGGAGAGAGAGAGGGAAGAAAGAGAGGAGAGGGGGAGAGAGAGGAAGAAAGAGAGGAGAGGGGGAGAGAGAGAGGAAGCAAGAGAGGAGAGGGGGAGAGAGAGAGGAAGAAAGAGAGGAGAGGGGGAGAGAGAGGAAGAAAGAGAGGAGAGAGGGGAGAGAGAGAGGAAGAAAGAGAGGAGAGGGGGAGAGAGAGGAAGAAAGAGAGGAGAGAGGGGAGAGAGAGAGGAAGAAAGAGAGGAGAGGGGGAGAGAGAGGAAGAAAGAGAGGAGAGGGGGGAGAGAGAGAGGAAGAAAGAGAGGAGAGGGGGAGAGAGAGGAAGAAAGAGAGGAGAGGGGGAGAGAGAGAGGAAGAAAGAGAGGAGAGGGGGAGAGAGAGGAGTAAAGAGAGGAGAGGGGGAGAGAGAGAGGAGTAAAGAGAGGAGAGGGATAGAGAGAGAGGAGTAAAGAGAGGAGAGGGGGAGAGAGGAGGCAGAGTTGTCCCGTTACCTTGGGCTTGGTGGAGTTGTCCTCCTTGACCACGCCCCACTCCTGTCCGTCCACACTGTGGCTCAGTCTGAAGCGCTTCATGAAGACGTTGCGGTCGCGGTGTTTCCCGCCCTGGATCAGAACTCCAGTCAGCAGCTTCTCCTGGAGAAGGTCAACCTGAACCAGAGCAGACCCACTCTTACTGCTGCGATCATTTAAAGACACATGGACCAAGACAGAACTAATGACTCAGAGTGGGCCCTAATATATATTCTGCATTATGTCGATTTGTTAATTCTGTTATTGCTAATGTCATGTCCTAAGTAGGCGTGGTCTTCTTCTTCTTGTGGTTTTTTATGGCGGTTGGCACTCGAACTTACGGTGCATTACCGCCACCTACTGTATCTAATTAGACCAGGATGTCGCTAGGCCACTCTTACTAATAATAATAATAACTAAGCAAAAATAAAAAGATTTTTAAATTTTTTTTTAAAAAAATAGATAAATAAATAACTAAAAATTAAAATTGAAAACTCAAATCCGTTGATACAATTTAAGCGTGGTCTTCTTCTTCTTCTTTTGATTTTAATGGCGACTGGCATCCAACTACCAAGGTGCATTTACTGCCACCTGCTGTATTAGGACTGTATGAACTCACTTTAATGAGGCTACAACAGTGGGCGTGGTCAGTTGATGTCATATCCTAAGTATACAGGAAGTGATGTCAGAAGACCACGCCCACACAGGAAGTGATGTCAGCTCATAAATAACTATGTTGTGTAGGTGTTTTTTGTTTACCTACGTTGAACCTTCCTTTGAACAGTATGTCATTACTTTATTTTTTCATGTTATGTATTGTACTCCGCCAGGGCTGCCCTTTGTCACCGGTTCTGTTCACTGTATTTATGGACAGAATTTCGAGGCGCAGCCAGGGGCCGAAGGGGGTCCGGTTCGGGAACCACAGGATTTCATCTCTACTTTTTGCGGATGATGTCGTCCTGTTGGCTCCAACGAACCAGGACCTGCAGCATGCACTGGGACGGTTTGCAGCCGAGTGTGAAGCGGCTGGGATGAGAATCAGCAGCTCCAAATCCGAGGCCATGGTGCTCGACCGGAAAAAGGTGCCTTGCCCTCTTCAGGTGGGTGGAGAGGTCCTTCCTCAAGTGGAGGAGTTCAAGTATCTCGGGGTCTTGTTCACGAGTGAGGGAAGGATGGAGCGTGAGATTGACAGGCGGATCGGTGCAGCGTGCGCAGTGATGCGGTCTCTGTATCGGACCGTTGTGGTAAAGAGGGAGCTGAGCCGAAAGGCAAAGCTCTCGATTTACCGGTCAATCTTCGTTCCCTCCCTCACCTATGGTCATGAGCTTTGGGTAATGACCGAAAGAACGAGATCGCGGATACAAGCGGTCGAAATGAGCTTCCTCCGCAGAGTGGCTGGGTGCTCCCTTAGAGATAGGGTGAGGAGCTCAGTCACACGGGAGGAGCTCGGAGTAGAGCCGCTGCTTCTCCACGTCGAGAGGAACCAGTTGAGGTGGCTCGGGCATCTGTTCAGGATGCCTCCTGGACGCCTTCCTGGGGAGGTGTTCCGGGCACGTCCCACCGGGAGGAGGCCCCGGGGAAGACCAGGACACGCTGGAGGGACTATGTCTCTCAGCTGGCCTGGGAACGCCTTGGAGTCCCCCCGGACGAGCTGGAGGAGGTGTGTGTGGATAGGGAAGTCTGGGCGTCTCTGCTTAGACTGCTGCCCCCGCGACCCGGCAACGGATAAAGCGGAAGAAAATGGATGGATGGATGGATGGATGTATTGTATTGTGTTTGTTTTATATATGAGTGTGTTCACAGTAAAGTGATTTACTTTACTGTACTTTCAATTAAAGCATCTGGACTTTAAAAGGTTATAACTTAAAAACTAAAATTACTTTCATAGATTGAAAAAAAAACAAAAAACAAAAAAGGGGGCGACAGTGGCTCAGTTGGTAGAGCATTGGCCTTTGAGCCTGAAGGTCGTGGGTTCGAGCCCACCTCAAGACCTACTTCACAACTCCCACTGATGACTGCTGTTGTTGTGTCCATGGGCAAGACACTTAATCCCACTTTGCCTGAAGCTCCCACTGAAAGATCTCAGCTCCTGTGGACTCACCACCTGCAGGAGGATCAGTGAGGGGCTGGTGCTCTGTGGACTGGGTGCAGCTCTGGCCACCCCCCCGACCCAGAAATGGATTAAGGGGAAGAAAATGGATGGATGGATGGATGGAGATTGGAAAAAAGATTTCAAACACAGACACATTGAAGAGATAGTGTGGAAAAAATCAAATGGAAAGATTGACATAAAAATGTTTAGCAACATTTTAAACGACCAAATCATCCTCTGATTGGACCATTCTACTGTGACGCCAGTTACATATAGAATAAAATGTCCTCAGTCTGAAAAAGCAGAAGATGAAATCCCACAGATTTACATTAACACAACAGAAGGAAATCACTTGATATAAAAAGGAATTGTGAAAAAATAAAAAAATTAATTAATTAATTTAATGACCCCTGAAAAATGTATAACGGACGTGATGAGGACGGTCCTCTTTTCTCTAAAAATTAAACTTGAGAAAAAAAAAATCTGGTCTGTTTTCACATTTAATTGGTTGACGATATGAAAGTATCACTTTGCATCTACTTTGTGTAAAAAAATAAAATCTCTGAATCAAATGTGGACATCTGAAAATACCATCAAACTTCCACAAAGCTCATTCCGTCAAATCATCACGTCTGTTACATAAAATAAACAGGGCCGCTATAGGAAACTTGTCTAATGTATAAAACAGTTTTGTTCTAGAAACTTCTGCAGGACAGAGGAGGTGTTGGAAACATGAAAAACATTAAATATCTTCTGATTATTTAAATCAAATTTTTGGCCTTTTGTCACACTTTTGTGCCCTTTAGTGTGAACAAGCCCATATATATATGTATTGTCTATAATGGCTAATAACAAACGTGTCATCGTTATATACATCAATGAAGCAGAAACAGCGTCTACATTTAAGGCCAGGCTTAAAACGTTACGCTTTAATTCAGCAAATGGCTCGAAAGACACAGAAATACAACGTTAAGTAAAATAATGTGTGGAGACGCTGTCAAGTTACTGGTGGTAACTTCATACAAATATAAATGGAATTGAATGGAAGTGAAAGTTGCTTGGACTCAGCTCACCTGGATCCACTCGTTCCTGAAGGGCTGTTTGGTTTGTTGACCCGTCCAGCCGGAGCGTCCTGTGAGCAGCCGAGCGTTTTCCGCCACCCAACCGCGATCGGCGAAGGACGAGGCGGAAATCTGCGAATCCGTGATCTGTCCGGAGACCATCCCCAGCATCACCGAGCACGGGAAATCTACAGCCAGACAACACGGAGAGCGAGGGAGAGTACGGCTGAAGTTTAGGTTCAGGTGAAGAAGGTTTTAAAACTAGTCACACAGTGCAACAAGCCGTGGAGCCGGGTTTGAGTGAGTGAAGCTCTGGTCTCTCTCTCTGTTCACTGGTCTCACCCTCTGGTGTCTCTCTGGTCTCTCTCTCTGGTGTCTCTCTGGTCTCTCTCTGGTGTCTCTCTGGTCTCTCTCTGGTGTTTCTCTGGTCTCTCTCTGGTGTCTCTCTGGTCTCTCTCTGGTGTCTCTCTGGTCTCTCTCTGGTGTCTCTCTGGTGTCTCTCTGGTCTCTCTCTGGTGTCTCTCTGGTGTCTCTCTGGTCTCTCTCTGGTCTGGTCTCTTGACTCTCTAGTCTCTCTCTGATATCTCTCTGGTCTCTCTCTCTGGTCCTGGGTACTCACGCCATACATGTGGAAGACTTATTTTGACCCAGTAGCAGCAACAGCAACAACAGCAGTAGCAGCAGAAGTAGCAGTAGCAGTAGCAGTAGCAGTAGCAGCAGCAGTAGCAGTAGCAGCAGCAGTAGCAGTAGCAGCAGTAGCTTTAGCAGCAGCAGTAGCAGTAGCAGTAGCAGTAGCAGTAGCAGCAGTAGCTTTAGCAGCAGCAGCTTTAGCAGTAGCAGTAGCAGTAGCATTAGCAGTAGGAGTAGCAGTAGCAGTAGCAGTAGCATTAGCAGTAGCAGTAGCAGTAGCAGTAGCATTAGCAGTAGCAGTAGCAGCCCTCACCTGTGGTCCGGCAGCCGTACAGCTCCAGTCGGAGGCAGATGCCCTGTTCCCAGGACGTGGGTCTGATCCGGACGAAGCGAGTCAGAGTCGGTTTGGGAAGAAGAGAACGGACCTCATCAGTGGGATTAGAGTTCCCCTCGAACACCTGCGACAACAGACCAGAGGCTATTACTGCTACTGCTACTGCTACTGCTACTGCTACTGCTACTGCTGCTATTACTACTGCTACTGCTGCTACTGCTACTGCTACTACTGCTGCTGCTACTGCTACTGCTGCTACTGCTGCTATTACTACTGCTACTGCTACTGCTACTGCTACTGCTGCTACTGCTACTGCTACTGCTACTGCTGCTACTGCTACTGCTACTGCTGCTACTGCTGCTACTGCTACTGCTACTGCTACTGTTGCTACTGCTACTGCTACTACTACTGCTACTGCTACTGCTACTGCTACTGCTACTGCTACTGCTGCTACTGCTACTGCTACTGCTACTGCTGCTACTGCTACTGCTGCTACTGCTACTGCTACTGCTGCTATTACTACTGCTACTGCTACTGCTGCTACTGCTACTGCTACTGCTACTGCTACTGCTACTGCTGCTACTGCTACTGCTACTGCTACTGCTGCTACTGCTACTGCTGCTACTGCTACTGCTACTGCTGCTATTACTACTGCTACTGCTACTGCTGCTACTGCTACTGCTGCTACTGCTACTGCTACTGCTACTGCTGCTACTGCTACTGCTGCTACTGCTACTGCTGCTACTGCTACTGCTGCTGCTACTGCTACTGCTGCTACTGCTACTGCTACTGCTGCTACTGCTACTGCTGCTACTGCTACTGCTACTGCTGCTACTGCTACTGCTACTGCTGCTACTGCTACTACTGCCGCTGCTACTGCTACTGCTACTGCTGCTACTGCTACTGCTACTGCTACTGCTGCTACTGCTACTGCTACTGCTGCTACTGCTACTGCTACTGCTGCTACTGCTACTGCTACTGCTGCTACTGCTACTGCTACTGCTGCTACTGCTACTACTGCCGCTGCTACTGCTACTGCTACTGCTGCTACTGCTGCTACTGCTACTGCTACTGCTGCTACTGCTACTGCTACTGCTGCTACTGCTACTGCTGCTACTGCTACTGCTACTGCTGCTACTGCTACTGCTACTGCTGCTACTGCTACTGCTGCTACTGCTACTGCTGCTACTGCTACTGCTGCTACTGCTACTGCTGCTACTGCTACTGCTACTGCTGCTACTGCTACTGCTGCTACTGCTACTGCTGCTACTGCTACTGCTGCTACTGCTACTGCTGCTACTGCTACTGCTGCTACTGCTACTGCTACTGCTGCTACTGCTGCTACTGCTACTGCTACTGCTACTGCTACTGCTACTGCTGCTACTGCTACTGCTGCTACTGCTACTGCTACTGCTGCTACTGCTACTGCTGCTACTGCTGCTGAAAACCAGTTCCAGTCTGCAGCCTGTAATCCTGTCAACTAGACCCTTCAAGACAAATGCTATTGTGATTTTTGATTCACTGAACAAATAAAGTTATTGTTTTGAAGGTTAGTGCTAACACATGGTCTGCTTTGTCCTTGTTGTGAGTCGCAATGCCCTTGTTATTTCTCTGCTTTCTGGTTTTTTTAAGCAACTGATTTGTCTTTAATCAAGGACCAATCCATCACACTTTATTCATTTAGTGTTTCACATGATGTGAACGTTCCAGAAAGAGTTCAGCTGAGGGTCCCTCATGTGAACTCTGTGGATCTGCTGAGTTTCTCACACTGATAGTTGGTTTTTTAGCGTCTGACTCTGAGTCTCAGAGAGTGTCGCCCTCTAGTGGAGACACTGCACTATTGTGTTGTCTTTGCTGCAGGTTTTTGTTCAGAGTGTTGGTGTTTCCTGTCAGTGTGGGCTGCAGAGCACAGTAGTACACACATGGATCTATTATATTAACTGGATAGGGTATTACTAGCGTGTAGCTGAATAACCCATGTGCTCAGGGGATTCTTGCGGTACTGCAGACTGAACCAGACTAAATTCACGTGGGCTACACAGAAATTTTCCCCATAGAACTCAATGCAAATTAAAACAGCTCGACCTCAGCTGACAGAGAACCTACAGCTTTCATAAAGGTCGGATTTTGTGGGGATTTTAGTGTCCCTTGTCATCCTGAACTTTTTTTCTTCTTAAATTCTTCGGTTTTGTTTAAATCCACACTTTAGTGCCACAAACTCTGCTCCTCTGGCTCTCGCTCTAACTCCCGCTCTGATGAACTGCTCTGATTGGTCAGAGCGCGGCCGAGCCCCTCTGTGCACGTGCATGAGACCCGGTGTGAGACCCACACACGCGTGTTTGACGCAATGCATTATGGGAGATCATCCACTGCGCAGAACCGGGAGGACCAGATGATGCCCAAATACAGGCGAGTTTCCCATAGATCTTTGCGAGTTTCAGGCAACTTCCGCCAATCTTTCAGCCCCCATGCCGTCACAAAGCGCCACTGAGCACAACCATTCATTTGAATAGGGCGCCATCTTGGATCGCCGGGGCTTGAGTACACAGCAGAGTCAGTCACATCCACAGCCTCCATCTTCAGAGACAAAGAGTTCTTCACGAGCCCAGCACCAAACTTGGATTCATCAAACTCTGGAGAGTTACGCCGGCTTCCAAACGTGGTTCGCTGCATCATGTACTTTGGAGAATCACCATCTATCTGTCTGTACCAGTACAAGTAGTAGTCTGTGGAGAAGCTTGTTGTAAAGTGGCAGGTGAGTGTGTGAGTGTGTCCCTCTCTCACTCGGGCCTCTCCTGCTGCCTGCTTCACTGTGTATTGTCCGTTACACTCTGGAGAAGAACTCAGCAGCACAAGCAGAGCTGAGAGCAGTGGACACAGGACACACTCCATCTTAAAGCTCAGATCCTCTCAGTGTGTGCTGCTCTCTTACAGTCTGCTGTCCTCAGCTCTGTGCTCACACCTGTCATTTCCTGTATCAGGCTGAGAAGTGTGTTCACCCTAGTGGTCAAGTGCTGCTACTGCAAACTCCACAAAAGGACATGTCCAGGAACATGTGTGTAAGAAGTCCCCACAAGGATAGTGCACATAAATAGTGTATGAATAACCATTATAATTTATGTCTAATACGTCCCTACAAAGAAAGTTCTGTTTAAAGGACCATTGTGATCAAGTTTAACACTAATATCCCCTGATTCTAGTTCACTGTGCGTTTGTGTACATCCATAACTGTTTTTACCTCGTCCCACTTCCACAGGCCACAGGATGAGTAGAGCTGCTCTTGTCTTTCATACTTTACCTTTCATCTGTGTCCAGTTTGACTTTTACTGGTTGTGTGTTCATTGGTTTTCATCGTTATCCCTCAGTCTGTTTCATGTTTGCAGTGATGAGACAGAAAGTATTATAACATTTATGGACATTTATCAACTCTCTATGGACCAAATACCTATTGCGACTCTGAGTCTCACAGAGAGAGTCGCCCCCTTGTGGAGACACTGCACTATTGTGTTGTCTTTGCTGCAGAGGTTTTTGTTCAGAGTGTTGGTGTTTCCTGTCAGTGTGGGCTGCAGAGCACAGTAGTACACAGCAGAGTCAGTCACATCCACAGCCTCCATCTTCAGAGACAAAGAGTTCCCCACGACCTCAGCACCGAACTTGGATCCATCAAACTCTGGAGAATTACGCCCTATTCCATTTGTGTCTCGCAACAACATGTACTTTGGAGAATCACCATCTTTCTGTCTGTACCAGAACAGACGCGCCCAAGAGGCTGTGGTTGTAAAGTTGCAGATGAGTGTGTGAGTGTGTCCCTCTCTCACTCGGGCCTCTCCTGCTGCCTGCTTCACTGTGTCTTGTCCGTTACACTCTGGAGAAGAACTCAGCAGCACAAGCAGAGCTGAGAGCAGTGGACACAGGACACACTCCATCTTAAACAGCCCTCTCATGTTTCCTTTGCTTCTTCTAAAGTCTGAGTCTTTGTGTCGACTCTTCTGGCTCCACAGCTTTTAGGAGGATGTGCTCCTCCCACAGATCTCTGTTCAAATGAAAACACACACACACACACAAACACACACACACACACACACACACACACACACACTTTGAACAGTGGTAGATTTGCACCTTAAGGTTTGATTTTTGTCTAGTCTGACCAAAGCACCTTCTCCCACATGGTAGCTGTGTCCACCATAAAACTTCTGGCAAACTTAATAATGGATTTCTTCTTTGCCACTCGTCCATAAAGGCCAGATTTGTGTAGAGACTGATAGTTCTCCCTTATACAGATTCCCCCAGCTCAGCATCAGTACTTCACAGCTCCTCCAGAGTCATCTTGGGACACTTGTGTCAGGGCTGCTCCTCCAGCAGCCCCTCCCTCCCCTGATACTCAAGGAGTCTCTGCCTCATCCCCCTCCCCTACCTGTTCCCTGAGCAGGGTGTGTTGGAGCTGCCTCGGACTCTGCCCAGCTGCCTCCACTCTTCAATCAAGCGGATACAAGTACCTCTGAAGCCAGCTCCTCAGTGCCAGATCGTAATCTCAGTTGCAGTGCGGCTAGCCTACTTACCTCGGTTCTCTGAAGTTGTATTTGTACTTACCTGATCTTTTTTCGTTTTTGCTGCAGATCTCCGCTCTGCCATGCCCGCCCCTACTCCTGATCCTGTTCTGGTTCCCACCTGTGCCTTGTGATTTATTTTTGCCTTTTTGCTCGAGTAAAGATTTTGTTTCACCACCCTGGTCTGCATCTGGATTCTTTGTCACACGTTACAACTTGGTTGTCTTTCTGACCAGTGCTGTCTATGTTCCATCTGTTAGTTTAGGTGGACAGCCGTGTCTTGGTAAGTTTGCAGTGGTGTCATACTCTTTACATTTCTGAATGATGGATTGAACAGTGTTCTGTAAGAAGTTCAAATCTTGGGAAATCTTGATATAACTTAAAACTACTTTAAACTTCTCCACAACTGTATCCCTGACCTCTCTGTTGTGCTCCTGGGCCTCATGATGTTTAGTGACCAATACACTCTGACCACAACTTTGAGGCCCTCACAGAACAAATGTTTTTATACTGAGAGTAGATTACACACTATTTAATCATTAGGATAACGTGTAAACATTCAGCAGTCATAAGAAAAGGCTCAACTTTTCCCTTTTCTGTTTTCAAAATAATAAACAGCATTTACTTTCACTTCACACTTCTGTTACTTGTGTGTGAACTCTCATTGAAAAAATAAAATCTTTCTTTATGGTTGTAATCATGACTTTTGCAAAAATTCAAGCTGTATTCATACTTTTTAGATGCACTGTAGTCTGTTTATTGGTTTTCACCGTTGTCCCTCAGTCTGTTTCATGTTCGCAGTGATGAGACAAAGTATTATAGACATTGGTCAACTCCCTATGGACCAATACCTGTTGTGTTCTATATCATTTGTGTTTGAACTGTTTGATTCTTTGATCTGTGTTGACTATTTCAATGGTTTTGTTAAGTTCTCTGAAATAACTACTGTTTTGATTTAGGGATTTACAAGAATACATTGAATTGAAATAAATTGAAAATTTGATTCTCTAATCTTCTGTTAACAAAACAACGACTTTGTGAAGTATCCCGAGACAGCTGCTATTGTGATTTAGGGATATACAAAATTAAATTGAGACAGCCCCAGTCCCACTCTGGGCTCCTGTGGACCAGGACCCTTCATACTGCTTTTCTGTGATTTGTTTCTTATAATAAATGTAATTGATTTGAATGATACAGTTATCACATGGGACATGACTTTCTGCTTGTCCTTGTTATGACTCATTATGGTCCAATTGTTTCTTTGCTTTCTGTCCCTTTCAAGTGATTATTCCATCTCTTTGACCAATGTGTGAGGACATTATTGTTATTCAGCTGTAAGTTCAAACAAAGACCAATCCATCACACTTTAGTAATTTGTTTTTGAGAGTTAGAAAAGTCTCAATGATGTGAAAGAGATCACAAAGTACACATGAGGGACCCTCAGCTGTGCTCTTTCCTGAGTTTCTCACACAGTTTGGTTTGGTTTTTCAGTGTCTGACTCTCACAGAGAGTGTCGCCCTCTAGTGGAGACACTTTTGTGTTGTCTTTGCTGCAGAGGTTTTTGTTCAGAGTGTTGGTGTTTCCTGTCAGTGTGGGCTGCAGAGCACAGTAGTACACAGCAGAGTCAGTCACATTCACAGCCTCCATCTTCAGAGACAACGAGTTCCTCACGAGCTCAGCACTAAACTTGGATCCATCAAACTCTGGAGAATAGATTACACCTCCGGAATAGATGTTAATCATGTACTTTGGAGCTCCCTGTCCCTCCTGCTTGTACCAGTACAGATCTAAGAAAGCATACGTGGTTGTAAAGTTGCAGGTGAGTGTGTGAGTGTGTCCCTCTCTCACTCGGTCCTCTCCTGCTGCCTGCTTCACTGTGTCTTGTCCGTTACACTCTGGAGAAGAACTCAGCAGCACAAGCAGAGCTGAGAGCAGTGGACACAGGACACACTCCATCTTAAAGCTCAGATCCTCTCAGTGTGTGCTGCTCTCTTACAGTCTGCTGTCCTCAGCTCTGTGCTCACACCTGTCATTTCCTGTGTCAGGCTGAGAAGTGTGTTCACCCTAGTGGTCAAGTGCTGCTACTGCAAGAGCCTCATAAGGACCTGTCCAGAAACATGTACGTATGAAGTCCACATGGATTGTACAGTACAAATCTGTTTATTTATGAAATTATATTTGTCATTATATTAGTGTGTAATGAGGGCCCCACAATGATTGTACTGTAAAAAGACCACTATGGTCAGGACACACACTATCTATTGGGTTACAGTCTGAATGACCACAACCCCTCTCGCTTGTTGGTCTCTGGAGGAGGGTGTCTCATGTGTGTGACAGGAGTAAGGCCACACATGGGATACCCTTCTCCAGAGACCAGTGGGCAAGAGGGGGCGTGGTCAGTCCGAGCGACCTGCCAGGTATATCAGCCTCACCACCAAATGCAACATTAAACTCAAGACACATTTATAGTCGGGGCGACAGTGGCTCAGTTATAGAGCACTGGTCTTTGGACCTAATGGTCGTGGGTCGAGCCCGCCATGACCCATGTCATTTGCTCCAACTGATGTCTACTGTTGTTGTGTCCCTTGGCAAGACATGTAACCCCACATTGCCTGAAGCCCCCGCTGAAAGACCAAGGCCATGTCTTCGTTCACGGAGAAGCCATCATCCCGTGGACTCACCACCTGCAGGAGGATCAGTGAGGGACTGGTGCATTGAGACTTGGGTGGCAACTCTGATTGCCAACCCCCCCGACCCAGAAATGGACTAATAAATGGGTAGAAAATGACATGACATGACATTTATCCTTTTTTGATTAGTCTCAAAAGGATGTGAATGTTCCAGAAAGAGCTCAGCTGAGTGCTCCTCATGTGAACTCTGAAAGAGATAAATCTTCCTACAAAGGAGGCTATTGAACTATCCACTAGGTAGACCCAGAGGTGAGAAAAAGTGCGAGAAGTTTGAACTCGCGAACACAGACCCGCAAAAGTCTCAGTGACCGTCTCAACAAAGTTCTCCTCCTGGTCCCGTGAAGTCAGCCAGTAGCACGCCTCAAACGATACGTACTCAAAGACAAATTCAAAGTCACTCACAACTGCAAGAGAAAGAACCAAAACGCAGACATTTTGATATCAAAGATCCCTGTTTGAGCAACAGTAAAGCACTATCAAAAAACAACAAATGCACAATTATTGGGGATCTCTTCTTGGATAAAGACAAAGGCTCAAGTGGGAGGAAGGCTGCAACACTCATCGCTGCAACTCGATAAAACAGCCAACAGTCAGTCCGAGAGAGCATCACATCACAAAATTGATAATTTGCTCACTGTCATGAGAAAGGGACCTTCACCAAGAAAAGGCTTCACAATGAACGAAAATACGGTCCAGCGTCTATTGGATCCCCAAACTAAATCAAGCAGTAACATCATACTCGTAGTGTGTGCTTTGTAGGAGACACGGAGGCCGGAGGAAGAACAAAAATGATGATCTCCCCACAGAAAGAGTCGAACATCTCCACCCTTCACATACTGTTGGTATGGAGGTTTTCGGCCCATTCATAACAAAACACGACAAGAATAAGAGAACAAAAGATACGGCCTCCTCTTCACATGTCTCTAATTCACGGGCAGTACATGTGGAAATGCTTGAAAGACCTGTCTACAGACACTTTTAATTAATGGAATGAGACGCTTCATTGCTTTGAGAGGCTCAGTCCTACAAATAAAATGTGATCAGGTACTAACTTTGTAGTGCCAAAAATGAACTGATGCAGCTTTAAGCGGACACTAACAAACTGACAATGTTTTCTTTCCAAAAACACAATGTGATTTTGTTTCTAAATACCCCTCAAGCAATCACGCAGGTCGAGTATGGGAACGCCAAATAAGACTGTGAGAAATGTTCCTCGATGCCACGCTTCACTCTCGCAAAAGGAAGACTCACAGAATTGTACTCCAACCATTTCTGTACAAGCAGCTGCAATATGAACAGCCGCCCCCAACAACAGACAATATCTCAATGATCCAACAGCTCCTCCCAGGACATTCGCGTTAAAGAGGATATTTATGCACAAAAACAAGGCGACAGTACAATATCCTAGCGGAACAATTCTGGAGTTTGATGGAAGGAGTAATCTTCATCAACATTATAAGTCGCCAACAGGCAACACCAACCCCAATAAAACAACAAACAGCGACCTAGTGATGGACAAAGATGAAACCCAGCCGCGTACACAATGGAGACTCTTGTAGAGTCTTGGACACTGTCACAGAAAAAGAGGACTTGTGAGAAAAGTTAAAATAAGCATATGCAGACAGAAATCTCAACAAAAAGGGTGAAAAGATTGAAGTGAGCGCCCAATTCCAGAAAACTTGTTCTGCATTAGAAGATAGATAA